TGAATTGCACTTGCAAGAACTAGACAAGAGGCTGCAAGGATGGATGGTGAAAATCTAAAAGSRAAAGAAATGATTTGTACAGTCACWTTTTCATACCATTTGCAACTAAAAATGTTTTACCTTCCAAATTCAGTRTGTAGTATGGATAAGTCAGCTATATAAGATGCTAAACAATCAGTAGTCTTGTCAAGCTAAAGAAAGTGATGAAAATGATTCAATATAAATTTTTGATCAAGCATTCCAAGATGGTGTAATACATAATGTACAGTAATATGATCACTTAAGTAAGGAAAAAGCTTGTTTAATTTTGAACAAAAAATAATAGATACATACAGCAATAAGACTTGAGTACAGGGAGAGATAGTCTGGTATAGTGAGAACCTGAAACAAAACCATACAGATTTCAACAAAACAATTATGTACGACAGTGTATGTGATGACAATGGTACTTCTTTCTATAAAGGACAATTTACTGTATGTCAACACAATCTCACCCTGACTTGTCCTCGTACACATGCCATCACTTCTCCCATCATCCTGTATGAATCACATATTTTTATTAGTATTGCTTAATAGGAGAAAACAATTCTACAACTGGCAAAGAATATTGTTTTCTTACCTGACAACATCTTCATATTTGTATGTATTGTCAGTCAGCCATGCAGCTTCTCTAATAGTAACAATATCCTTTCCTTGAAATCTACATGTAAAAGGACATTTTTATCAAAGATGGAAATGCTGATAAAAAGATAACAATACAAAAGGTTACCTTGCAGCAATTAAAATACATGTTATGCCTAATAACTGAAGTTCAGATCTTTGAACTGTTCTACTCATTATGAACTGATCAACACAAGCTACAGCTATATGTACTACTTGACTGGGGAAATCCTATAAAACACAAAATCAATAATTATTGCTGAATACAATTCAAGAAATCATGTAGATCAAAAGATATCTGCTGCTTACCTTCATCACAGCTACTTCAACAAGCCAGTCAACTAGGATGCATCTGCAACATTGAATGATATGTGAAGCTCAATATGTTGCTATGCAACTCAGACATAAATACTTTTTGTACACTTTTGAATTATATCATTAATCAGCTTAATATATACCTCATGGTGCTATTTAGTTCAGTCTGGAAAGAAAACAGCTTGTGTGTGCTTGTTGGTTTGGACCTTGATACAAACTGCAACCAAATATAAAATGTAACCTCAATAAAATAGCATATTTTCTGTAATGACTTGACAAGAGTCRCAAGAAATTCCAGATTATATTTTATTATTCCAGGCTATTTTGTGCCAAGATTGTAACTTTCTTCCAGAGCCTCCATGGTACAGAAACTSTCTTATAATCTACAKTSTAACAGATGCAAGTCTCTGTTACATAGAGGTTTAATAGTTTWCCAGTGCTATAMAGAATGATATACCTGTCGTATAAATTCAGCTATTTGTTCTTTTGTTGCCCCACCTAGATTACCAGAAGCATATTGCATGGCTAAGTTTAACTGAGCATCAATGTTCCCACTGCTTGCTATATCACGTAATTCTCTAACACTCTGTAACATCAACGAGGGTTCCATTAACCGTTCTGCAGACTTCATTTTCCAAATTTCATATGCAGCATGAGAAGATCCCAAAGATGCTGCATTTTGTAGCCATTGCATGCTTCCTTCCTTTTTATTGTCATCCTGAAAAATTACACCAAAGTYACTTCAAGTGCTTTATGATGTGAAGTGTGCACTAAATATGCAATTTTGAAAAGCACTAGCACATTTCAAGTGTAATTTATGTGTTTTGAAGGACTACATACTATGTGTAAGCTTGTGATTTTTCCAATGCAGTACAACAAAGACTTGTTAAGGCTATCATTAGGCTGTCAAGATAATAAAATATATTCTATAAATGCTGAATGAAATCCATAAAAAAATGCAAACACAATTAAAACATTTTTTTTTCCTTTACTGTTGCTACTTCATTGTGGTTCTACTTACCTCCGAAACAGAACAGAATTCAACAATATTTTTAAAGACACAGGATTTACAACACACTCCAGTAGGGGCCCATGGAGGACGTACAAAGAACCATATAAAAGGGTCACCATTTACTGAAGCTCTTTCAGCTTTGCAGAAGTGTTCTGCAGCTCTCTTGCCATTTTGCTGAGCATTGCTGACTGAATTTACTTTATTATCAGTAACTGAAAACAAGAGTAGTTCACTTATTAGCAGAAAAAAATTGAAAATATTATTTAATAAGCAAAACTAAAACTTGTAAAATAATGTCACTCTTTTTATGTATCAGTTATCAAAGTTTAAGCATCTCAGCTTTTGAGAATCCTATTGCTAGGGCACGCTAATTAGCTAATCCATCGAGCATTTTTGAACTTTTATGGGTCACGCAAATAAATTAGCGTATTAATATTATTTATTAGACCTGTAACTAAAAGCTATTATAATCTTTCCCTAAATTCCATCATATTGACCACAAAAAGTTATCTTTCACAAAAGCACACCCCCAAACGAACAGCATGACTTGGGGTGTCTAAACGTAAACAAAATTTAAAAACCGCGCCGCCGAAAAGAGCATGACATTTTGACAGACGTCTAACGTTCTTTTCGTTCTTTTTCCTTTTACCAAGAAAATCATTCACTTACTTCCTTCATTGTATAGATGAGCAAGTCCTATTTTAATTGAAGCTTCTATATTTCCAGTGTTTGATGCTCTAAAGAGATTAATAGCAAGATAACCGTTGAAAATCAKTTCAACCACAGGAAACCACAAAGCGACGCGCGAGATCAAATGCGCTTCTTCAACGAACCTTTCCAACACATGTAGATTTCTTCGTGAAGGCCAAATTCCAGGGAAAGAAACAGTCCTCCATATAGAAGACGAACAATCAATAAGTGTTTTCAAGCTATTGCATGCCTATAAAATAATAAACACAAATAATAAGCGGGCCCGGATTGACGTTCAACTCAACGGTTCCAACGGTCGTGAATACAAAATTTTGCAATCGCATTGCAATAACAAACAGTGGTCATTTCTAGTGACTACTATTGATATGATAAGATAATATAATTCCCTTAGTTTCAAAGATTTCAACTTACCAGTCTTAAGTTTGTAAGATCTTTAGCAGGTAAGAATTTTAAGATTAACAAAATGACTTCTTCTGGCAGAGTCAGGAGTGGACGCGCTCTCAGTGAGCTTCTAGTCCGTCGAGTACAAATACTTCTAGTTCTAATCCTCATAATTACTTCTAGACAGTAGAGAAATGAAAAAAAAGGTTCCTACTCTAAGTGAAGATATTTAAGGAAAGTAAAGAGGAGAAATTATAGAGAGAAATAGACGTTACAGAAAGTGAAGAGCTACTACCGTTAGATACAGGCGTTACTTGAACCTGGGACAGAGGTCACGTGAAATTAAAGGCTTTATTGTGATTGGATGATAAAACAATAGGGGCATCCACTGAGTTGTTCTTTCGCGTGCTATCAATTACATCCGACAATTGGTCGATTTGAAAAAAAAAATAAACGTTATTTTGAATTTATTGCCTGGCATCAATAAAGTTAATAAAATAGCAGCAACAGTACATCTTTTAAGACTCCCTACCCCTCCCCCCTCACCACACAGCACAACATATTTCTCATAAGGGACATGAATCTCATGAATGAATCATGACATGAATCAATAATGGTTGATGTCCCAAGCAGTCATTTCATATTTAATTTCCTTTATTAATTACTAACATACAAAATTCATCCAATGCAAACTGCCAATGCCATATGATGAAACAAGAGCATAAATACAGCATATCAGAATACTTTACAGTCATTGAAAGATTGTCATAATTCATTTCAAGATCAAATTAAACAAAACCATTTTTCTCACTTTCCAATTTAATTCAGTTTTTATTCAAATGTTTAACAATGGTATGTCTTGAAATAAAATATCGCCTGTATTCTTTTTTCTTTTGTCAGTGACCAGTCTACTTTGAAATGGTTGAATAAAAGTAAAATTTGATCGGTGTAGGTAAGAGTGAATATTATTTACATGAAATATACAAACTTGAAAGAATAGTTAATCATAAACCTTTTAGCTCAATATTTTTCCCATTTCAAACACTTAGGTGAGCTAACTCAGATTCAGCTGTCAAAGGATGTCACATGATCCAAAATGGGAAATTTGCATATGGTGCTTAAAAAGTCTGTTAACATTGCAATTTATAATATAGAATGCATAAAATGATCAATCCAACAACTGAGATGTGAAAAGAATGCTGGATGTCTGATTTATGACTTAAGGATTTTTTATATTCAAAATGAATCATTGCAGTTGTATAATACATTACAAGTTAAATTGATATAGTAATATGATTTTATATCCTGCGGTACCCTCGGTTTGAGTGTGTACGTGAGTGTGAAGATGAATGACGTCTTGTAAAATGACTTGATGCCTGATCAACTAAACCCTGAAATAGTAAAGTAAGATGACCATTTAATCAATATTTCAACAAAATGACTTTTAGACACAAGTTTAAAAGCACAAGTCTTTCCAATATTTCCCAGTTACCTTCTTGCTGCGTCTGTCATGTTCTCTCTGGAAAAGGTTAGTCCCAGAAAACTTTTCCTGCTTGCTTTTATCTTTGACTTTTTTTACCTTCAATCATAAGACCAACCAAGAGTTATTCATTTCTGGTAACTTTTCAATTTTATATTGATTTTAACCTAATCACATTGGTTTTTATTCTCCTCTTGCAGCTGTTATTTGGCTTGTTCCCAGGTCTGTGGAACAAGCCAATAATGGTTGCAAAAGGAGATTGATTGGTTTTCATTTGACAACAAGCCATGGATACCTTTCCTTTATCCAGCTCCTGATCCCATGAGTCACGACTTCGTTCTCTTTTCCTTTCATTCTTCTCAACATTAACCAAACTATGGCCTCCTTCCCATGTTGTTACTATAAGACATAACTTAAGTGTAACTTTCACTCTTTTAATAGCATTTTGTTTGTTTTCCCTGAACTTACATGCTTACCATCTTTAGGTTAATGACTCGGTTACGTTTTAGTTAAAGTAAGACAACCAATCAACCTTACCATTGTCACCATAGCCAAATACACCACTGCTTCCTTTAAGGAGTTTGTTGACCGTTGAACTGTCACGAGAACCATCCCATGTGCCTTTGCAGGAGGTTTTGTCTCTTTGATCACCATCATAAACAACGACTGGAACATCTGACAATAAATGGAGAAACTAATTCTCAACAAATGATGAACCTTATGAAAATGCATAATTATGCAATAGTAATAGTTACCTGGTTTGTTTTTCTTATGCATCTCTTTAGTATTTTCTGTTCTGTTATTGTTCTGGTCATCAATGCAATCAGAGCTATCGTCACTAGTGTAATCAACTAACCGTTGCCGTTTTGATTCTCCTTTATGGCTGCTCTTTTTCCTTTTATTTTGCTTTTCTTTTGATGACTCATCGTCTGATGATTTGCCCCTCAGAAGTTCTTCTTTGTCACTGTCTCTTTTGTTTTTTCCTTTCTTCTTTTTCTTTTTCTTGTGCTTCTTCTTGTTCTCTTTATCTGAATTTTGTTTATTATTCTCTTCGTCTTTAGCTTCGTCTCCATCAGCTTCTTTTTCATCATCTAATTTGTGGTATTTTTTTGAGTCTTTTCTTTTGTCTTTCTTTTGTTTTTTCTTTGATTTCTTACTTGCATCATCATATGCTTCTACCCAGCTCTCCTCGTCTTCTGATTTTTCAATTTCGGACTTTGCACTCACAGTCCAGCCTGCATGTTGTCTCTCAGGAAGAATGGGTCCAGGAGTAGGAATACGTTTGTCTTTAATAGCCCAGTCTCCTGTCTTAGCTGTTTTACTGGATGTGCTGCTTCCATCAGAAGTAACAGATGATGGTGAAGGTTGTGGTAAAGGAGTTCCCTTGGGGGGTGGGGACATTGGACCATATGTGAAACAGTTGTTGGAAGTCTGAGAAGTTACTTTCCATGGAGTAGTAGCTTTTACAGGAGTTGTTTTAGAAACATTTTTGTCATCTGTGTCATAATAATAAACAGATGGATTAAGTATGTTACACCTAATTTACAAGAGTATTGTCATATATAAGAAAAAATAACATTTACTAACAAGAATTGATTGTTCAAAAAACAAAGAGGCCAGTTGAAATTGAAAGATCTGTCTGAACAGAATAACACTAATAAATCCTAAGATCAAGAAAACAATAAACACTATGTCTGACATAGGGGTGCTTAAGCCCAAAACCCACAATGCTTGGGTCAAGAAAAACAGTGATAAATCATAAGGCCCAGATTGACTTGAAGAAAAACATTGATAAAGGAAAAGATCCAGGTGGTTCATTTCAAGAAAAAAAGTGATAAGTCCTAAGAAATGGATTGGTTTCAAGAAAAGAAAGGATAAATTTTAAAGGACCAGGCTGGGGTGAAGAAAAACAGTATGTATTGAAAAGTAACTCCCTTTTATTCTTCTGAGTTCATCCTTTCCTTACTTTATCMACTTTGTTTATCAATTTAAGTAAAAATAAAATAAATAATCATATCTACTAACCCAGTGATTTTGTTTCACTGACTGAGCTTCTGGCCTGAACACTTCTTGGAATGAACAGCTGAGGTGGTCGTACATTCTTTGTTGGTGAGGACTTTTTCTCATCTTTTTTTACAGGAAGGCTGACCTTAACAGGTTCAGGGGGTTTTAAGTCTATAGAATTTGTTGTTTCCTTTTCATTCAAAGTCTTACATTCTACTTTATTTTGGTCCTTCTTAGAGTTTTTGTCATTGTCAACCTGTTTGCCATTTAGCTTCGATGACTGTTCACCTTGCAGGACTTTGTTCTCATTTTTGCTTTTAACAAACACTGTTGGGCTTTTGATAGCGAAGCTCAATTTGGGTCTCTGCTCAGTAGTAATAATCGATGGAGATGGCTTTGATGGAGTGGTTGGTCCACTGAAGGTGTTTGGAAATTTAGGTTGTGCACTTCGAGAAACTGCAGTTCCATAGTCTACAATAATAACCAAACAAAATCATTCAAAATAGTTTAAAATGGAAGAAAATAGTATACAGCAAAAGTAAATTGTATTTTGTCAATTTACCATTTTCTTTAATGTTCTTTTGCCCAGGTTGTGCTGTCTCAGCAGACTTTGTTGATAAGGATGAAATACCTTTCCCCCCCTATACAACAATGCCAAAAAACTATGAACTGAATATTCAATTTTTAAAATTCATATTTAATATCTTATGCAAGGGAAAACAATTTACCTGATGTGAGATGTTGTCAGCCATTTTAATATAAAATAAAAGATATGCTTGCTGAGAGAGAGCAGCATTCAATCCAACTTGTCGTACCTATTAAGCATAAAATGTACTACTGAATACTATATAATACAATTTGGGATTGGTTTGAAGTCTTTAGAAGACCTCATCTTCATTGATATTCAAATTGTTTTTTCATTGCTAAACTTCAAGGGAGGAAATATCCATACAGACATTGAGTACACTTACCACTGAATCATTCATGTTATACCACATGTTGTTAGAACTTCTGATATAGCAGTAGTAATGACCTGAATTACTGGAATACCCAGAATGCACTAGTACACCATAAAGCTTGTACTTTACTGGACCACCCTGAGTAAACAACTAACATTAAATACAAACAAAATCAACACAATACAAACACTCAGAGACTTACCTTTGATGTCATAAATGGCCTTAAATCAAGATATTCAGCATATTCTACAGATTTTGTTATTTTTCCTCCAAAGATGTGATTTGAATCAAATCTTGCAGAATTAAAATTAATAAAAATTAATAACTGATGATAATAAATAAATTAATGATGAAAGATGAGGAATGGACTCATTACCTTTTCAGTTGAACAGTCAAAACATTTGGAGGTCTGTGTATTAAAACTTGTTTATGGGCAGGAACTTTCTTTTTACACCTTAAAACATAACAAATAAAATAATTAGATCTAAATAAGCAGTGTCAGGATTAGATTTACAAGAATCCTGCAGACATACTTTAAGCAATAGTATAGGTTATCTCCATCCAAGAGCTCTGCCTTGCATAACCGCTGTAGTGCACGTACAATTGTGGGTGATTGCTAGGATATCAACAAAAACAAATAAGCTTATATAAATGTCTCTATAATAAGACAAAAGACAAGTTCCCAAATATCATTTATAGTCACAACAAAAAAATTACATTATAAAATGAAAACTACATTCTGTAATGTTACCTTAATGTCAAGCATGATGTCCATAAGAGGGTCATAAGTACTGGATGTATTGTGACACATCAGACAACGTACTAAAAAATAAAAATGTATGGTACCAAAGGATTTAAGACTATTGCAGATTCAGATGAATCATTCTTAGCTAAGCACAGCAAGATCAGCTATCAAATCACTGCTCTTAAAGGACTACACTTTCAATAATACTTTAAAAGAGCAACACTATTTTAAAGGCACCATAAATAGACCCTGGTTGCCAAACAAAGAATATAGAATGAATACCCAAACTAGGACTTTTCCTTGCGCCTGCCTAATAGGAAAATAATATAAATCACAAACCTTGACTTCTATAGTATCCACTGAAAATTCTATGAATGACAGTTGTTTCCTTGGAAGCTTTATCTAATCTGAAATCAAATCAATAATGTTGATACTTTTAGAGTTATCTGGTATACAAACTATAATGTTGAGGAAACTGAAGAGAAAGAAAGCATTAGTGTAGATTGTATAAACAATAAACATTGCCCACACTGCAAAAAACGATTGATAAAATACCTACTTTTCATAGCCATGAAGACAACTCTTTTGCATTCCATCAATGACATAACGAAGGAATTCATGGGCATCTTCTTGGTGTCCAAACCTCAAGTGTTTAGCAATACCTAAGAAAGTACACCATAATTTTACTAATGCATACCTCACAAATCTAATAAAAACTTTAAATACCGTTAAGGGGGTAAACCCTGAAAAATGTCTGCTAATGAGCTAGTCTAGTCTCCTCTCACAGCTGTTAGAAGGTTCGTTCCCAAGATTCGTTCCCAAGGTTCGTTCCCAGAGACCTGGGAACGAGCCTTGTCACGGCTGCAAGAGGAGACTAGAGCTAGGCTAGCACTTATTAGAGTAAAATCAATACTTCTTATGCTTATAATGATTGCTACTTACATCTAAGTTTCTGTATGATGGCCTGTGGTTTGATGGATTCATTTTGGTGATGGTTAAAGGATCTGAGGACATGACGCTGTAGTTCACACATCATACAAAATCCAACTGCTCTACCTGTTTTATAAATACATTTAGTTAAGCATCTCAAATTATTCAATCTTTAAGGAAATCATTTCATATTGTTCCCAGAAAAGAGATGAGTCATATGTTGTAATGTACCATTTCTGGTATTTATGGAAATATAAAGAATTATTGTTATTATGAAAATTTTAAGTTTACTCTCTCCCTTAATGGCCACAGGCAGTTTCTTCCTTTATCACAAATTATCAAGGAAGTGAGTATTTCCAACACTAGTAATGTAGAGGGAGAGGTTTGCATGTGGTAAAATCTGTTCAGGTGACTTAAAGTTAGTTGGTATTAGTATGTGATACCTCATTAAATACATTTATGGCACTTACATTCCCTTGTGTGCTCCTGTGTTGACAAAAAGTTTACCAGGGGTGCAGTGTAGGTGAGAACTTGAATAACTGAGTTTAAGTAACATGTGTTACCAAGGTTACTTAATCCAGGACCAACCCGTCTCATTTTACTCCATCGAAGTGAAATCTTATCAGGATTACATAAAACTAGCTTAGGCTCTGGAAGATCATCTTGTTTTGTGCCATTCATATGAACATGACTCTTGTCCTTTCCATTCACAAGTGAAGCATTTTGATTCAAAGCTTTGTATTTTTTCTTTAGCCTTTCATATTGTTCATCTGGCTTTGAGGCTGCTTTGAATTCAATCCTTTGTAGAAGAACTTGTTTTGAAGAGGACGTTAGCTTTGCATCCAAATCGTTAGCTAGTTTGCTCGCGATGACATTGGAGTCTTGACAAAATTGTTCAGTTTGTGAACTCATAACTTCGCAAGTCGTCATGGCAAAAGGAGGAAACACTTTTAAGAAGTTAAATCTAACTGCCGTTCTCCATTTCACGAGTCCAAAACCTCTGCTACATAGACCATAAATAAGTTTCTTCTCGGTAAACAATACTTTGGTAGAAAAATACCGGAAGACCAATTAAAATTCTTGACCATGTGCTACAAGCTGGTACTTTATGTTTTGGCGTCAAAATACTCTAAAATCGACTACCCCTTGGTAAAAATAACTATCATGAAAGATAGCACTCTTTACTTTGCACCAAGTTGAATTTTCTTTGCAGAACGCCAGACAAAAATATTTAAAAAAGCAAATTTCTATTGAACAACAATGGCGGCAAGCAACAATCCACAGGATACCCGAAGAGACCGTTTATGAACATTGTCAGCCTCCCCTCCCCCAAGAATAATATTTGTATACTCTCTCCCCTCCTCTCCCCTCCACTAAAATATCTATTTACTATTCTATTCATTATAGAATTGGTTGTCTAGGTAACATAGAATATTATCAAAATATTATCATTCACCATTCACTAGTGGCTTTATAGTCTTTATATGTGTAATTTTTTTTTGCTCGTTTACTTGATCTAAAAAAATTCAATAAATTGAAGTGATACAAAGAATGACAATACTCAAAACAAGAAATAAATATCACTGTAAAAAAAGAAATGCTAAATACTGATAGCACTTTGTAGAGTTGTACGTAACAGTGCATCTATTAATAATGTGATCAAAGTCCACAAAAAAACGGGTTATAAACAGGTTTGAAACTGGCTTTCTTCAAGAGATTCCCGCCTTGTGATGTCTATGATTGGTTCTTGGATGAAAATCCGTATTTGTGATTGGTTGAAAACGACGTCATTTCGCGGTATTGCATCAGCCACAGCTACAAGTCTTGTGACACGTTTTTTGGGAGTAGATTTCATCATCCCTTCAAGATGGCGGTGTAATATTTTTGTGGCATTGTCTTGCAAACGTATTTTCCTGCAATTTTCTTGCAGCCATGGCGTAAGTATTCTAACCTCTTATTGCTGTGTAGTCTTTTTGTCAAATAACTAAAAAAATGCGGTGGACAATGGGGAAATTCAAAGCGAAAATCGAAGGCGATTCAACAACGCGGAAAATGCCTTATCTGGCCACGTTTTCGTCGGACAAAAACGTTTTCTAATTCTGGCCAAACATTGTTTGATAGTTCAATGATAGTTTTTCGTATAGCATTAGAGTTGCCATAAGATTTCAATTGTCATAAATTGAGAGAAGTATAATTACATTTTTAACCATGTGGCTGTTGTTCACTTACAGACCCCTCAACTCAACCCGATTATCCTCCGACAAAATAGTTATTACCGATGGCACGAACATACACAAAGAAATCCAAGATGAATGCGATCAACGATTTTTCCGGACTTCTCTCCCTCGAGGAGATGGAGTTCTTTCCAAATCTCGACCTTTGCCTGCCTCTGTACGATGACGGCACAAATGATGACGTCTTTCAGATTGTAGCAAAAGACAACGAAGATTTCTCTACGGGAGAAATACTTCAAGAGCTTGATCTTCAAGGTAATAGAGTTTGTTGATTATTAGATCATTATATACATTTTTTTGTCTGAGATAGAAGTCATATGTTGCAAAACGCCCTTACCCTCACCCCCACCACTTTGTGAGAATGAGTTGGCAGAAAATTTGCTAGCCTTTTGTTTTGCGGTTGCATCAGAAACTGCAATATATAAGATTTCATCACATGAGTGTCACATAGTATTAAGAGGAAAATGGAGTGCTCAACTGTTACTCAAGTTTTATGTTGGAATTCTACATTAATGAAAACATTTGTCTTCAGGTGGAACCGAGCTTTTAGAGCCAGACTGGTTCACTGAGAAGTTTGACTTAAGCAGCTTTGAACCTTCAAATTTGACTGAAACCAACACCACTCTAGAAGGATTAACACAACTTGAAAATTCACTGTGTGGAAACACTTTTCCAGATTTGAATGATGAGCTTTTAATTCCATTACCAGAGGAAAACATAACCATCCCAGCAGAGATGCCTTCAACGCCTGAACAAAAAGTTCCAGAATTTCATGCCTTGTCGCCATACAGTACAAGTAGTGAAGGGTCATCTGGAGTATACGAGTCTAGCCCTTCTTCACCATGCTCAAACTATTCTGACAACAGCAATGACAGTACTGTTTCTTTGAAAGAACTCTTGACCTCAAGTGATTCAAAATGCAAAGATACAAAAACACATGCAAAGAGTGTTTCACACAAGAGGCCAGCCCCCTTCACCGGGCCTACAGGTAACCTACAGCCTCCTAAGCGTGTCAAAACACCTGCTCAAAAGCAAAGAAAACGTGTTCAAAATAAAGATGCTGCTACAAGATACCGTGTGAAAAAGCGTAGTGAACAAGAACTTCTTTATGAGGAAGCTGAAAAGGCAGAGAAAGAAAATAAAGAGTTGAAGGACCAAGTTGCATCAATTAGCAAAGAAATTGAATATTTGAAAAACTTGATGATTGAAGTGTATAAAACTAAACAGAGACAGCAAAAGGCTAACTAGCCACTTCAGCAACAAAATATTATATACATATGCCTGTAAATATGCACTGCATGCTGCCAACTCAATATTGTAATATAGATAATCACTTTGTATTGAAACATTAAAATATTTCATCAGGTTCAACTAGTTGTGTAATATAGTGTGTGACACATCCTTGGGAACACAGGGGGATATTATGCCGCAAGGAAAGAGAGTTGCCGAAGTGTTATCCGGCGTTTATCGAGAAAAGAACTGGATGCAAGCAGGGGGTTAGGATACTGGTGACCGAAAGGAGGAAGAGCGTGTGTTAGGGACGTAGGATGACGTAGGGTGTATTGACTGCAGGCTAGTTACATATTTGGGCTCCCTGTGTAAGAAAGATGGCGGACGAAGTTGTGCAAAGAGGGTGTAATCCTGTATTTATCAATGCACTTACATATATAGTCACAATGGCAGTATTCCTTGTTGCCTTTACGGTTCCAGGGATAACGATTCTCCCTTTCCCTGCTAGTGGTTGCCTTATACCAGGTCCCGATGGCACTAAATTCGCTGAAGCAAATAACATCGGATATCTTTTCGTTGCTTTATGGGCAGCTCACTTCCTTCGCCGTACTATGGAAGTCCTCTTTGTCCATGACTATAGAAGAAACATGACTTACATAGAGAGTATAGGTGCTCCAGTGTACTACTGGTTCTTTGCTTTTTGGAATGGACTGGCAATACGCCATGCTGATAACAATTACAAACCGACTTTCATGGCAATGGCTATCATTGGTTGCGTCGTCTTTTTGATTGGGGAAATTGGCAACTGTCATTGTCACTTGCTGCTTCGATCGTTTCGTAAGATGAAACGTAAATCATACTTGTCAATGAAGACTAAGCATGTCATTCCATCAGGTTACATGTTCGAGTTTGTCTCTTGTCCCCATTATTTCTTCGAAATTCTATCCTGGTTTGGATTCATGCTTGCTACATGGACTCTAGCTGCTGTGGTATTTCTTGTCGCAAGTGCTGCAACCCTCGTCACATACGCATATAAAAAGCACAACGCGTACTTGAAAGAGTTTGATGGACTAGCTGAAAGAGAATTGTACCCAAGAAACCGAAAAGCACTTATCCCTTTTATTTTTTGATTTTTTCACCATATTTTTTTCAAATCAGTAGAGTTTCTATAGGAGAAGTCTTGCTGGGTTTGAGCTCTTGACAATCCGTACCATTATAAGGATGAGGAGGTCATTTTTTATCCTTTTCAGGAATAGGTGAATATGATATAAACAACTATATTTCAGCTAAAAAAAGAAAAAAAAATTGTTTTTGGCATGCTCCAGATGAGGATCAAACTTCAACACCGCAAGTTCATAAGATGGTCTGTGGTACTATCTAGCCACTTTCACCACTTGGCTATCATGACTTACTTACTTTTATTGTATTATGTTAGTATTGGCCCAATCTTGTATAGTGTTCTGCAAGATTTAGACTATTATGGATGAACCTGGTTGCCCAAAATCAATCTTGGAATCTTTTAAGGAAAGTAATAAATGCTGCAATTTTGAAGAGGATTAGAATAAATAAAAGAAAAAAACACTGTAAATCATTTCAACTGTACTTTTTTATTCAATATTTTGTTATTCTGCCATAACCCATTCCAAGATTTATATCTATGTACAATACATTCTTTAATAAACATTTAAAAGTTATGTGATTTTCAAAATGTAAGGAAATATATTTGAAATAAAAAAATTTTAAAAAACCTGTGATAAAAAAAGTGGTTGTCATATCAAATTACAAAAAAATGTTACAGAGGAGGATCATTTCTTCCAGATTACCAACTCAAATACCATAATTATAGGACATCGAGAACACTTTGTACAAAGCCTGGGGCAATCATATTGCAGCTTTCATGATTGATATTGTGTCATCAGTTCCATTTTTGCTTTTACTGTTTTCTGATTGTCCAGTGTTATCTAAGTGCTCCTAGTTTGAGTGTCCTCACTAATTTCGAAATGATAATTATGCACAATTCTTAGCTAAAACAATAGAAATCATTGCTATAGTATTGTCATAAAAATACAGCATCAAATATTTGTTTGTTGTTTTATCTGATTGTCACAGACCATCATAGGGCTGTGTGTTTTTACTTTTTATGGATGCTTTCTTTGATGCCAGTCGTGGTGGATAAGGATCCCTTTGTTCAAAAAAAGAAAAATAATCAAACTTAACAATTAACATTCAACAAACAATAATATTGATATACAATTCTTTAACAATATATCTTCTAATTTGGTGCTATAACAATTTTTGAGGAGACACATGTTGACTGTTGCCACTATCAAATATCAAATTGTGTTACAATGAAATTACCTACCCAAAGAATGGTACAATGTCAAGGAGAGTAGATTTAGAGGTGCTTGATGTAAGCTCGGGTGTTGTTGAAATGAGTAAATTCACAACATGGCGGATGTATTCTTGGAGAGCCTTGCGACGTTCCTCTACAAATTTTCTGCCCTACAATAAAAATTAAATTATTATATGGCAAAACTTTTATTAAGCATTATGGATGGCCTTGCTTTGTATAAACTAAATAAATTCAATTCAATTTGCAAAAAATAATGAGCTATAAGTATGAATGTTAATCATTAAATTTAGCCTACCCTGTTGCCAAAGGTCTTCTTTGAAGGAAACTTGAATGTGTCTACAATCTTATGGTTCTTATATAGCTGAATTAGAAACAGTAAACATGTATACAAATTTCTTGTGCTAATGCAATTAATTGTAACCTTCCTTTGCATGGCTATTCTTTTATAAAGACACATGCAAAGGCCAAAAAGAACATTACCTTTTTGTGCAGTTCATGAAATTGAGAGTAGCGCCTGTAAACATTCCACTCATCATCTTTGATCCGTACATAAACCTGTGTAATTATTCATGTGATGTTGATTAGTGTGATTTCACAAATGAAAAATCCCAGGTGTTATTAGCAAAAGATACCTGATATAGATGATGGACTCCAGCAGAACCTTTGCCTTTAAGAAACACAGAAGGAATCCAGACATTGATCAGAGGTCTGTTTCTGGCAGCTGCAGTCAGAGGATCAAATACATTGGCTGTTTCTTTAGCTTGGCAATCTTGTGGAAGCTAGTATAACATAAAAGGTACTAAGTCACTTTTGATCAGAAATTCAAAATTCAAAATTAATAGTTCTTACAGGACCACGTAAATCAATCAACTCTTCTTGAAGCCTCAAGGCTTGTGCTTGCCAGTAGTTGTACTGAAGCTGAAGTCGTTCATTAAACTCCATCAGCTCACCATGCATCTCAGCAACCTGGCAAAAAAATCAATCACATTTTTCATAATCATTTAAGACTAAATGATACCAATGAGGATTAAAATTTTGGTTGTATAATGTCAAAGCTTAACATACTTGAATTAGTTTCTGCTTGTACTCTTTAGCCTCATTAGCACTGAAATAATAATTTCATTTAAATTTGAATAATCGCAATTCTAATGTAATGTAAAGATGTTTAAATGCATTCCATTATGGGATTGTCCCTACCTGTCAATATCTTCATCGTGCTGTTGTTCTGGTGGTGCTGGAATCAATTCATCTTGCCTGATTCCAGACAAAGCTAGAAATAAAATAAATGAACACCTTGAGCATTGTTCTGGAGTCAGAGTCCATCAGCTTTTATTAGAATACATATATTAGGTAAAAGAGAGTTTGTAGACATGCCACCCTCAAACAACCACTTCCTGTACCATTCAATTATTGTTTGAGTATTTTCACCTTGTGGATTAGTAGAGCCTCCTTCATTCATGCTACTTCTCAGCAACTGTACTGCACCAACATACTTTTTCAGCTGGTGCTTTAAGACTTCATTCTCTCTATAAAACAATATGGAAGCAAAAAAAAGGATGAAAGTGACTTACAGGTAACATACTGTAGCAGTAGAAAATGCAGAGTGTGACCCATTATTATKATAAACAATAATCACCTGGTGAGAGCTTCAATCTGTACAACACTCTTGTCTTCTTTCTGTTTGTTCTCCTCACTAAGTTGCTCAACCTCTGCTTGCAACACTTCTTTTTCTCTTTGCTTTTCTTCAAGAAGTTGACGCAATATCCTGTAGTTACACGACAGTACACATTAATGATATCCCTCAATCATGACCAACAAACTTTATTTACCTGTTTTGATCTTCAATTTCATCTTTGTGTAACATCATTGAAACAATTGCCTGCTTCAGCTCACCTGAAGAAACAATATGTCAACACAAGACTGATATGGATATATGGTTGATATCACAAATAATCATCATGATGAATTTATTATTATGAATTTAGTAACAGCACGATGGAATTGCAATCTTTTCATGGTAAATAAAGCTGTTAATAAGTATCTTTTTCAACTGATCTTACTTGTAGACATGGTGTCTTCTTGAGATTCACTCTAATAAAGGAAAATATTATGACTACTGAATACAAAAATTTAACACATTCCAAACAAAATAGAGGATTATTACTTACATGCTTTATGAGATTTACTTTCCCATCACTTGATGTTATACTGTATTCAATACAAAAAGATGAGAATATGAAAAATACTTCTTCAAATCTTGACAATATACCTTGTCATGGGGTCTCTTGGGCTACATAGCTCCAAGGCAGCAGCAGCAGCATCTGTAGCAGCTGACATTGACTCAGACCTTGCCCTCATTAATTCATCCTCACTTTGATCAAGTCTTTCATCAGTATCATCAAGCCATGAATTACTTCAAGATACAAAAATAATTTGGTTGAAACAATACAACAGAGACAGGTCTTTGTGGTCTGTTTTCACTCTAACCTTGACAATGAGACACTGTCTTTAGAACTGTTCTTTTCTTCTTCTCCATCATGTCCTCCCTGTCCTTCATGGTTATTGTCAATATTTGTAACAGTTTGTTCTTCAAGTTTGCTTTCAGTTAAAGGTAATAGTCCATCTTCGCCTCCCATCACCAATAAAATTTCACTCTCCTTGGAAACTGAGCTTGACAACAGGTCTTCCTCACTAGGTCCACTCATATCAATACTTTCCACATAAAATGTTGTCCTATTTTTTTGTGATTTGAATGACTTGAAGCTAAATAAACTACTTTTGTTTTCAGTTTTATTTGGAAGTATACTTTGTTCAGTACTTTCAGAAACCCCATCAGAATTACCTTTACTACTATCATTTGGAATCAGTGATGACTCCTTATCATCATCTGAGACATTATTGTCAATTGTAACATGTTTTTCATCTTTTTCTTCAATGGTTTCCACTGACTGTGTATATATAGTTTTATTCAAATCAGGATTAACAACACAATCTAGTTCCTCAGAATTCCTATCTGTCCATTTGGCAATGCTGTCATCTGATAAAGAAATTTCTCTGGAGAACCCATGAGAATAATGTGTATTTGGCATTACAGTATCAGCAACTTCAACATTTATCTTTCCTGGATATGACGATGATCTGGAGTGGCCTGGTTTTATGGTATTTGTTGATTGACAGTTAGGCTGAAAATTTGTGGAATCTAATTTTGGTAAGTCTTCTCTACTGCTGTCCATATCATCAATATCATCAATCGATACAATAGCTGCACTCTTTTTCTTTTTCTTCTTTTTAGCTTTCTTATTTGATGTGGTTTCTGAAAAGTAATTTTCATTAAATGCACTTGTCACAATATGTCACACATTTCTTAAAATTCACAAAGAATGCAAGTAATGATGTCTGGGGGAAATGGTGAAATTTCATTTCACCCCCAGTGATGATCTTGGCATACTCATTTCTCTGCAACAAGTATAATTATGTTATATATTACTGTTCTTCTGTTTTTCAAGTGGATTTTCATACCTGCCAATATTGCTGCTKGATCTTCTTTTGGTCTTGAAGCAGGAAAAGATGGTAAAAGATTGGAAAAAACTTCTTTAGTTGATGGTGAAGAAATCTGCAATCGGAGTTCTCAAACACATTAGATAAAGTTCAAAATGATTAACAAATACAAGAAAATACATATGGGCAACAATAAATAAACAACAATAATATGGAGAATACCACCTAGAGATAGGGTTAAAGCTCCTATCATGTATAATGACACAGTTAATAAGGCTTTAAATTCCAATCTTAGTTGATTTTTGACATACTTGTTTAGCATTAAGTTCTTCTTTATCAATTCCAAGGGCAAATAATATAGAACTCAAGCCTACAAGAAATTATATCAATCAGCTCTAATCTATTAATGAAGACATAAGGCATTATCAACAAAAGCAAGAGACATACCAGCTGATATCATTGGTAACATGCTTGACTTTTCTTCATCAACTAAAAATGCTTCGCTCTCATAGTATGACCTACAGAAAATACTCAGTGTATAACTAAGTTGTGTATTCAGTTAAGATTAACCATAGTAAGGTTATAGTAGAGGGAGACGACAATACCTCAGAAGTGCTTTGTTTGACAGGATGTTGTGGATACTTTTCTCTAGTGTGTGTTCATTCAGTGTTGATCTCAGCCAAGCACGGCCTTACAAATACAAATAATAATGATAATAGTCAATTCGTTGTTTGTTAAAAGACTGCAAACCATCATCATTCCTACCTCGTCCAGCATCTGTGTTGATGTGATGCAGTCCAGCAAATCTCTCTATTTCATTCTTACTAAGATGTTCCTTTATGAAAACATAGAAATCTGAATTATAAAAAAAAACAGAAAATTAAATACAGTGAGATTAAATTTCACTCTTTCATTTTTCACATTCCCTTAGATTAATCTGCATATTTTAATATATTTTTCTGAATTAATCTAGTCAGTATTATTATCCTAATGATTACCAACAGACTTCCTTTTAATAAGAATACCTGGCTCTAATTCCTGCTGTTTTGTGATTCCAGCAACTTGCCCAACTTGCCTGGAGTGGATTTAGATACTTTAGATAAGTTTTGAGAATACATGTAGTCTCCTTCAGAGTACCCTGCACAATCTTGATAAAGTATTTATGCTTTATATTGAAATGATAAAACTGATTAGCTAACAATCATAGAAACCTGTGAATTATTGTCTGCTCACTCAATGATTGTCTCGCTTCAAGGCAAAAGTACTGCTACCTTTCAAGATGGTGCAGAAAACCATGAAGGAGATTATTAAATGTATTAAGTGGTGTCCTCCTGCGAATTTCCAAAAATCTATTCCACATTCCGTAAAAAAAACATCATGTTCTCACCTCATGACATCATTATTGTTCTAAGTTGTGAACTCTGCTAATGTAACTCTACAACAATATGTACTATTTTTATTGTTTCCTTACATGAATGCCCTTATTGTGCCCTTTGGTTTCTTCAATCCATGTCCCAATATGGCCTGCAACTGTGCTAATAGACAAGAAACCCTAAAATGAAGCAAGGAAATAATAACAACATGATGTGTATCCTACATAATAGCATTAAAGCTTGTTCCTTTTTTGTCCCACATTACATGATAGAGACGCACTAACAGTCATGTCCTATTTTCAAAAGGTATGTACCTGCTATCTGTATCTGTAGCCAACTCGGTCTTCCCTCCAAATCGCACCTGACACTGAAATACATGTTATAAAACTCATTAATATTCATAAGGCAAAACACAATAGAAATCATAGCCCATGAAGAGAATTGTATATTACATACAGATCGCCCGCTCATATTGTATATATTACTTATCAGTAATGATATTGAATAATAACTTTTTTCATAAATATGGAGTGAAAACGGTTCATTCAGAACATGGCAGATGCGCACTAAAGTGATATGTAATACAAAGCAGTATACATATGTTATACTTTAAAATATTGTTCAACAGTCCCTAAAACCACGTCGCTTACAAGAACATTAGCAAAAACAATGATAATCACAACACAGGAGGCCCAAATAGTTCAAAACACTTTATTCGTATTTCAGTGAATAAAATCTTTAAACAATTATACTGTTTCCATGCCATTCCTCAAATTCTTGAAGTTGATGGATTTCATTGTCCTAATTCTATTGTTTTCTATGGCATAACTAACACTATGACGTATTTGATACTAAATAGTATGCTTTTACAGTTTGTACTCTATTAAAGTAACCGGAAATGTAATTTGTGTAAGATTTGTAAGCAAATTAAACACACGCCTTTATTGCGTCAGTCGTGGGTGGTCGAAAACGGGAGAGGAAAAACAATGAAAATTCTACAATTTCAATCCCAAAGGTGTTCGCAGTCATCTACAAGAGTGGTCGTCTATGAGAGAGTTGTTTTACAGAGTTTACATGGGAAGCAAAACAGGAAATTTACAAGGTGGTCGCTTATGGGAGATGGTCGCTTACGAGAGTGGTCGTTCAAAGAGAGTTAACTATACTCACAGAAGAGCAACTTTCTTTCATTTTATAAGTTACACAAGAGAACAAATGAATCTGTATTATAGTCCTCTACGTATCTTGTTGAGTTATTGCCAAATTAATCATATTGCTGTTAATCAACAATAACAGCAAAATATTTTTAAAACAATAGCAACAAATTCACAATTAGGGGTTATGCAACGTTTATGAGAATAATGAAATCACAGAATGGACATTAAGCTTACTTAAGTTAAAAATATCTTAAAAATTTATTCTTTTGACAGCAGCCAAATTATTTTTGTTCCAACCAATATTTCAAAATACTCACTTGTTTGACTGCATCAAGTAGACGATCGAGTAGGTTTTGTCGCTCAGACTCGTAGCTACCACGGGCTGGACAAAGAATTAAATCAATCAGTGAGCTATAGCTTAACACTTCTGATTTGACTTTCTTTGTCGCATAAATTATCACAAATCAAGAAACAATCAAGAAACTTACCATTCATGCTGGATGTGTCATGTGAAGCTAGCAACATTCTAGGAACCACATTCTAAATATCTCTGTCTGTAAAATGACACCACAGCAGTATCATAACACTTTCGATCGTTCCCACCACTCCGTACCGTCCGCCATATTATTTTGTTATGCTGCAAAGGCTTCTGGGCGACTAGCATTGAATACTTGAGGGGGGAGGGGGGCGGGGTAAGCAATGAATTTAGGAGTTAGACATCTCAGCTAAAATTTTAAAATCTTTGATTAAAATCTTCATGAGAAAGTCTACATAAAAAATGAAACTGAGGAGAAAAAAAAAAGAAAAAAAAGACGAAAATAAAGAAAAACGGCACTCGATTGAATTTCAAAGTCAAAGGACCTCAAAGGCAACCAAGAAGATTCGAACTACGGGCAGTGTTCGATCCTTAAGATTGAAGAGCAGCGCCTTAACAGTGTGCGCCACAGGACCACGCTCATTTACATAATAATAGACCACTTGGCACTTTCGCCGAATAGACTACCCCAATTTGACATTACATTTTCGATAGTTGMCTAGTTAGTGCAAGGGGTTATTCATCAGTGTCTAGGGGCCGGATAGCTTCTCCCTCACTGGCTTTTTAGTTAGCGCGAAGTTAGGACCAATTATCGGGATAGCATGGAAGAGCCGAAATCTCTAACCGGAATGTAAATCGATTCGCCGCCTCAGCTTCACAGAATGTCTCGGGGGAATCGTCCCAACCTTTTTTCGATTTTATGGTCAAGGGTTCGAGTCCCAGGATGAGTGATATCTTTTACATTCCTGTGTGAGAATTAGTTGTTTCTTCTTTTCGTTTTTACTAATTTATTTTCTTTACATTTTCTTTCGTTTTTCGTTTGTTCGCATTGATATATATATTTGTCAATGGATATACAATTTTTTAACAGTTGCTGATTTTACTACAATAAAACTGAAAATAAATTCATAATAATCATTGCCAAATTTGTCTTTATTACATGTAAATAGTTTGTGGCCATTTGCAAAGTCTAGGAATATACAGTTGGAATATTGCCCTTTCAAACATCTTTATCTATCACTTGTATCCCCACCATCCCCTCCCTAAATATATTCACGACAGAGCATTTCTGTTTAGCTCGAGTTAGTAACTCGGTGTCGCAGTAAGTGAATTGATAATCAATTCATGAAGATAGACTGAGTGGTGTAATCTAACCCACCCAACCCTAGACATTGTTCATGATTATTAGACTAGGTACTAATGCTATTGGAAACAAAGGAAGGAAGGAAGTAAGGATAAGGAAGGAATCCATCACGAACGCGTTGATCATTGTCTTGCACAATAGATTTGCTCAATCCATCTAAGTCATCGTAGAATTTCTGTACCAATATTTTTGCTTTAGGATCTTCAAGTTTGCTGAAGTAATCGAACAACTGATCAAGATGAATAGATGCAACGTTGGAACTTAACTCGGCAACTTCCTACAAGAAAAAAAAATCAATGTGTTAAAAATAATGCTGGATGATCGATAAAAAATATGGAACCCCGAGTGCTGACCACTAAATACAGCTTTCAATAAAACTATTGCAAGTGCACAATAAAACAAACCCACTTTACTTACCAATGCGATAGCTTTATTGCCAAACATACTGTTGCTAAAACTGGCCTTCCCTTCTGCATCAGCAAATAGCCTGTGAGGTGAGTTTGGTACAAATCCGCCATACTCTAGAAGTGGAAACGTTACAGCAGCGTGTTGACCAGTCAACGCCCACACGAACGTAGTAAGAATACTACTTAAATCATCACGAGTCTTGATTTCTGCAGGGAATTTCTTGACCTAAACAAAAAAAGTTTTCTTGGTTAATCCCTATCACAACCCTACTTGGTATTTCATTGACAGCTCACCATTCCCAGACCTCCCTCTTCACCCTTTCCATTGATTGACATTTCGTTGGCAAAGTCTTGTAACTCGTAGTCCTTGGCGACATCGTCGTCATTTTTATAGTACCTATGTAAATATAGCATTATATAGCAAACATCGTTACACTTTGTAAGAGATGCGTGGTGGCAATGTATCATGAGTTCGACACGCAGAACAATCAAACAAGAGGTACACCTAAGTACGCAGAACGCTTACAGTTTTAAGTAGTCACCCAAATAAGTACTTATAGCTTTGTACAGTTTAACACCATCATCTCGATAAGGATAATATGGAAGTCTCTTGTCGTTATATACACCACGTTTCTACAGGAAGAGAAACAAATCAACCAAAACTTAGCCATGATTTTACGGAGAGTTGGACAGGAATCCATCAGGATGAAAACGTAGGATGAAGGAAGAAATGGAAGGAAGGGAACACGTATCTATCTCAAACAACACCTTTAATTCTTTAATAAGGTCGATATCTTCAAACGTCATGTTAACATATTCTTTATTCACAAGGTTTCGAGACGATAAAAAGTCCAGACTCAGTGCTTTATAGATTGGTGCTTTTGGCCCTGAAAAATATTAAAACATCACATGCAGTTGTAATATTATTATCATGAATGAGGCCATAAGCACGCAATGTGTGGCGACGCCATTTTGTACAATAAGCATGATGGGAGTTTGGTCCTTATCGTTTTGTAGACTACTGAAATGGCACAACCAGTTCTGTTTTTGCAAAGAAAATGCTAAAAACCTGCATATCGGAGGACCGTTTAAATGGACATGAAAAAGCGCGACTTTGGGACTACACCTCCCACACGCTTTGTTGTACAAAATGGCGTCGTTATGTTGATATCAATAGATGGGGTGACCTACGTAGCACGCAGATTCTCCCAAGTTGACATACCGTAAAGTTTTAATTCAAACAGCTTATTAGTCTCCAGGTTTGCTCGGCAATGATGACGCAATATCTGATGTAATGGATGATATTCAGAGAAATACTTTTCTACCAACGTACAAGGTGCGTCCATGTACAAATGAGTCTTCAATCTTTTCTTGATTAAATGTAAAATATTGATATCTGCTCGTTGAACGGTGGATTTAGCAAAGAACCAGGCTTTTTGATCATCGGGGGAGCTAACAGGAGCTTTTTTATCCATGTCGAGTTGGATAGCAACTGGGCTGAGGCGACGGACTCCAGGTTCATATTCCTTGACAACGAAGAATGCGATGGGTGCGGTCAGCGGCAGTACAGTGTGATTGAACTTGTAATCTTTAAGATCAGTGGGTGTTTTGATTCCGTTGAGTTCTGGGTAATATGTAACATAAACATCTCCATTGTCGATGGCCTGGGGGTATAAAATGTGCGTTATTTAGATGCAGTACAAATTGCAGTACATCTCTACAGTACGACCAGCAGCAGGCTAAAACGAACCTTATCTAGTGCGTCATTATCCTCTGTTCCCAAAACTTTACGGAAAGCTTTATGCCAGTCAAAATCTCTATTTAATAGCAATTCATAGAATGAGCTCCAACTTATGCCTTCCTTCTCTGAAAGAAAATTATGATATTTTACTAAGGTGTTAAGTCATTCTATGTCATAACATTGATAGGAATGCACAATTGTAATCGACCGAATAATTACTGCTAGGTAACCACATTTCCAATGTTCTTTTTGTTGTACAAAATGATGTTGTTGGATAATGCACTGGAAAAAATCGCGCGCTTTAAGGGTTGTAAATTTGATGTACATGTGTCCAAAATTCTGTAAATTTTTGTTGATTTGAAAATGAAAATGATTTCCATTAAATTTACAGAATTTTGGACACTTGCATCATATTTACATCAAATTTACAACCTTTAAAGCGCGCGATTTTTTCCAGTGATGCCTGGTATCTTACCATCTTTCCTTGTAACTCTCCATATTTGGTAAGGGTTTGCACCAGCCAATCGCTGGTCAGCAAAGCATCTGTCTTTAAAGAAGTTGTCTTCAATGGAAGGAACGCGCTTCAGAGCACTCATTGCACTGCGTTTCTAAACCAAAAAGATTGAAAATAATCTCATTTGTTTTAGAATGTCATATGTGTTGATGAAGTATCGCCATACCTTATGGTGCTTATAGAAGGCTTCATAAACGATAGCAAAGTCCAGTAAAGTCGGTGTACTGTGAAAGCGTGGGTCTTTAAGGGTAAAGTGAGACTCAATGTCTTTATTTAAGTCAGCATTGTCTGTCATCTTCATGTACCATTCAATGGTAAAGGGATCAGTAGACGCACTCTGAACAAAACTTGCTGCTCCTTTCTTAAGAAGAAGAGGAACTTGTACTTCTAAACCACTGAAAAAAATAAACGTATCTGTAAGCATATGACTCCATATGACCAATCAAAACGATCCTAAAAACTATAAGAATCTGGCTAATCATAACGCTGTTTAAAAAGGATCTACAAAATGAATGTTAATTTTAATTCATCGTAATCACGAAATCGCAATCATCATCCGAAAAACACATCTTACTTTGAAAAGTCCTCCTTTCTTGAAGATGTTAATTTGATTAACATTTTCTTAGTTTTCCGACCAATTTCTCTTCTGACCAGACAGATCTTCGATGCGTATGCAGCGAGACTAATGCGACATTTAAGTTCTGAAAAACAAAGAAAAAAACTTATAAAGAATACACCCATCTTGGTGAGTCATGCGCACTGATCCATACATTCATACATCCTAAGAAGAATAAAGAAAGAGAATACTAACCATCACAATTAATCCCACCAAAGTCCGTCTGACAATCGCACCGATATCCATCAATCTTATTATAATCGTTGATACACGTGCCTCCATTTTTACAAGGAGCTTTAGCACAATTATCAGGCCCATCAGCATCCTCGCCCGAGCTGTCTGTACCGCTGCCTTCTTCTGTGAAAACATCATAAGTTTAGTTCAGCTTTTTGAACAAGGGGAAGGGCTGCCCCTTGTCTATGCCCAACCCAAATGTCATAGTGCAAGAGTACCTAGGGAGGTTGTCCGCTTGCCGTGTGCACAGCAAGTATCTCAGGTAGCATGCATTCAATTCAGAGACAGTAAATAAATCCTTCTAGCACTACTCTGGTCCCGTTATTTTCGATAACCTCTCGCGTTTTTTTAAAAATACTTACTTACTTAATTAATTATATCCATTGCTCCCTGCAGAGATTAGGCCATCATTGAGCTTTCTCGATTGTAGCGAATAGACGGAGAAAGCTTATTGATGGCCTAAGCTCCGCAGATGCATTTTAACAATCAAAATGCATTCTTTTTATTCGGTTTGCGTTACCACGGTAATAAGGAGTTACCTGCCCACGTAGAGTGCAACAAGATTGCTACAAGTCCAACAAGTATAAAATGACTTTTCATGGTAATCTAGTGAGGAAATCATAGTATTATCGCTATATTAGAACAGGTTTTACAGGGAAAGCCGTGTACATATTTTGGCTGTCAAGATATCTACTGACCATATGAAAGTTCAATTTACAGAACATATAACATTTGACTTTGATTTTTACACTTTTGATGTTGTTAAMAAGCAATAAGAATACCAACACAAGGGGAAATAATTTTGAGATTATTTTATAAGTAAATATTTCACTTACACTGTGTGAGCCACCGACAAAAATGTCAGTCAAGTCGACTTCGATATGAAATCCAACCAAGAGGAATATAGACGTCAAATAATATTTCTTACAAACTGTTAATGTATTTCCGTTAAAAGTTGAAAATGACAACAAGATAAGAAGACATAGGGAATTCACAGTCAACCTTGTTCTGTCATGCGTGTCTTGATACTACGGTCACCAGCGAAAACCTTTTACGGTCGTGCTTTCCGCCTTGCTATGCATGCTGGGTAAAGCTTCACCCAGAGTACAAAATGGATAACAAGCAGTTTATCACAGTAACAGCTTTGCACTCTTGATGAATAAACAACGACAATTCTATTTCAACCAAGTAGCTGAATATCTAGCGCAAGAAGTCCATATTTACCGTTTAGGGGCCGGTTCTCTTTCTTCTCCCAAAAGACTCTATTAGGCTGATTACTTAAATCGCGCGCGATTGGCGATCGAATGCTATCCTTAACGTAAATCTATTCGACCCCCAAGCTTTAAAAATCTCTGTCATTCTTTTGCTAAAGTCTTTGCTCTACACAGTGATGCCTATTTCAACTTTCCCATGCAATTGTCATGACAACACTTAGAGTTCCAATCAGGCTACATCACGTTCGTCATATTATAAGTCCATGGTAGATAACTAGAAATAAAATCTTTGCTATAAATTTATAAATTTTGTATTAACTATACTAGTACTGGCTGTCGTGTGCATATTACTTGTATTCTAACTTTCCTGCATTTTTCGGAAACCTAAAAAAGAGAATCGTCACAAAAGTAGGGATAGTTACTCTTTAATTGTACATTTAGTGAAAAAAGAACTAAATAGGGTATGTATGACCTGTGAAAACACACCACAAGCAGAAAACGGACGGTGAACAGGCAGCTCTGAACAGTTGACTAGGAAATAGAGATCCATTGTGTCTAGAAGCAACAGACCACGATATTTGTACAACAAACAACAAACTCATTATATCAAGATGCAAATACAGACTCACATAGAATGCAAACTCTAAAATCCGAAAAAGAAGCATATTTTGCAATAAATTGACTTTGCCCTTTTCTTTTATTGCTTTACTGATACTATTCAGTCATATGTGTGTGGTGTTATAAACGAAATCTGTCATTATGATAAAGAGTAGCAAACGCGAGAATACTTTGGGCTACAGAGCAGCAACTCAAGGTCAGAAGATGGAGTACTGCATCAAGTGACCTGTGTTTGAAGTTACTGGTGATATATCATTGAGACATTCTCTCACCCGAGTCAGAACAGTTAGTTGTGTTTATTGACATCTATCAAGTACTTGGATAGTCGTAAGCTTAATTAATCTCAACCAACATTTAAGAAGCCACGTTATATTCGAGATAATTCTAGTTTAGATTGCTATAGAGTCTTTCAATTAGTTGTAATAAGCTATGGCCAAATATTGGGACAATTATCTAATTAGAGCCTAGTGTTTTTAGAAATCCATCCTGGCACTATGACATAACAACCTGCATCACGCCAGTGGGTCGTGACGGGTACCCGTGAGATCTCGCTTGAACACTTCACCTTTAGCCTTTTAACCTTTCCTAAATTTTGTTTTCATGGTAATAGAATAATAAATTTGAACGAAATTTTACTCAAAACTTATGTTATTTTTGTATTTAAGGAAGAATACATTAATTTCTTGGCAATCAGAGCAAAGCAGTTCTCCAAAAGTCAGTGCAGCACTTGTCATACGGCAAAAGAAAGAATGCAGTCAGGCGCACGACCATGTACCTTATATGGTCATTACCCTGGAGAAACGCACTGATTGGTTAATCAGCTTTTCGTAAAATGAAGTCATTACTAAGTGAATCGTTTGTTTTTGAAAACGTCTCTCAGTCGCTACAGGTGGCAAAAACACAACAAACCCTTAGCGGAATTTAACATTCTGATGTAGGACAGAACTGGTGTTTGGACCAAAAACATATTTCCTTTATTGGATTGTGAGCGGCTTTTGATATCATCGTTCTCATGTGAGACATGCAGATCAGGCTTTTTCTTCTTTTATGGATTGTGTGCCTTTCCCAGGCTTCACCGGTCACAAGTAAGTATTTTATAGCAGAGGATTATTAATGAGAGGGGAAACTATCATTTCGCCGATCGACCATGTTTGATTTCTTCACGTCATACAATGAAAGTCTTGTGGGATCGACTGTTGTCAGTAATGGTAGAGAAAATCAAAGATGTTGACCACTACGATCAAATATTCGATACCCTATGTTCAACAACCATGCATGTTGTAAGATGGCTAACTTAAGATGGCTACTGCATACCTCGTGATCAACACCGTATAGACGACTACAACTGATACTACAAAATGGAGCACTTTCATAAAGGTGTGGTGAATATATGAACAATGGCATAGTTAACCATGACACAGACTATACTGGCTGATATTGTTCTAAAAAGATGATTTACGGTGTAAGCATGCGTGAAGAGCCTTACTACAACACCATGTATTAACATCACATGATTCAGAGAAGTGAAATGATTTCTTGATAAAATGGGTTCAGCTCGATGGAGACCGAGACCTTTACGTTTACATAAACTTGATGCAAGGAGCCCAAAGATCATGAGAAACATGGAATATAAACAGCACAGTCCATGGAAGGAGGGACATACTACTTTAAAGGAATGAGAACAACAATGAGTGATCCTGTGCAAGTTGATCTCCAAAAATAGTCCCGTAAAATGAGAAATATTATTGCGCACTTTGACTACGTACATAATTGGGAAAAAGCACAATCATGAATACACTAATTGGACAAACACACCGGTTATTACCGGAAATACAGAGATGTGATATTATGTGGTAGTAACGCATGGTTGGCTTAAATATGTCGTGTCCTTACATGAAAACACTACGGTTTTATGTCACTGCAAAAAGGAGGATTCTCTATCAAATAGTTGTCTTTGATAACAACTGACCTCAAAATGAAATCAAAACCTTTTGCAGCCAGCCACAAATCGTTTTCGAAACAGGTCGTGTTTTGGTCGATGAAGGCTGTGTGATAAACATCAAAAACAATGTATAAGTTATTTTTTTATTTACTATTAAGTGTGAATCAGTATTGCCAAAAACTGTCTTACAATCATGACCGTTGTGATAGGAATTGTTAAGGTGTGACAATAGCACTCATGCTCAGCCAATCGTGAATGAGCTAGTACTGAAAAAATTGATTTTAAACCCTATGTTTATATCATAGGAAAACGAACCAAGCGAAATGCGGAGTTAGCAGCAGATAAAGAAGGTATGACTAATCGTTTAGAAAGAGTCAATTTAAATCATCAGTAACATATTTCTTTGCGTCTTTAGTGAGAACTATCATATCGGCCATCGTAGACGCCATTCTTGACGGCGACAAAGTGCGCAGGTCTGATATCCCAGGTAACCGGTCCTTAGATGCACTAAACCAGTGATATAGCTCTCCGCTGTTGTCTTATGCAGCATCCATTTGACTCATTTGTCCTGGATTTTGTATATTTAATCTCGCTGATTGTATATATACACTGATCCGAATAAACCGCTGATAGTGATAAGAGACTCAATTTCTTCCTTAGATGACGACGACGAAGATCAAGCATCAAGTGCTCAAAAACAAAAAGACGTGAACGAAGAAACAGAAAAAGGCCAAAATGGTCAAAACAATAAAAGCTCTGACAGTGAAAAAGCTGGAGGCGCTCAAAACACACCTACGGTACAAAGTACAAAGCAAGATTCAACACAAGAATCAAAAAGTGAAGGTGAGTTGTGTCCTTGCAACAGCTGTATTATGTTTTGATTGGGGTACTGTTTCTTGTGATAGTTATACAGTTTCGCTGCCTCTTTTAGTGTTGTTATTTCCATGGTACTGTCAACGCTCTTTGCTGTTGATGATGTTCTTAGAGCTCTTTTTATGAGATGACAATGATTTGTCTTTTGGTTTGCAGAACCACCAAAAATAGTAACTCCAGACTCGGACGAGAGTGGTAGTTCAGATACAAAAACCGTCGAGAAAGCCTCCAACGAGGAAACAGGAGAAACATTGACAAGAAGAAATATTATTCCTACAGAAGTATTTGAAGACGGTAATACTTAGCATCGAAAATGAACATTAAAAGTTAAAATTAACTACAAAAGAGATGAAATCATAACACAGCGATGCCAGATACTATATAAGATAATAATTTGACGTCAATTTCAGTAGTGTGCTAGGATACAATTGCTTTGCATTAACCCTATTCATTCCCGTTACTAGAGGATTCTGAATCCCCAAAGAAAGAGGATGATAGTATGGATGGTTCTGGTTCTACGTCAGACTCTGGAGACTCTGAAGACTCAGGTGAATCTGGCGAAGGAGAACCAGATGAGAGTCCAGTTTCTGGAGACGCGAAACAGTACAATACCTCAAAGGAAATCAAATCCCTTGAACAAGCCGCTAATAGTAGTACATCAAACATGAAACAAACACTTACTGTCAATCAGGATACCAAAGTAGTAAAACAAGCAAAACAAGAAACTAAACCAGTTGAAAAAGATGCAAAACCGGTTGAACAAGCTGCACAAGAGACTAAGCAAGTGGGATCCGCTGATGAAAGTGGYGGGTCTACCGAAGAAAGCGGTGATGACATTGATGAAAGAAGCGAAGCAAAGGAATCTGGAGAAAGTGTACTAGATTCCAAAACAAATGAGATTGTAGAAGAAAAAGGCAACCACAAAGATTCGCCAGCGGAATCTGTTCAAAGAAAAGAAGCAAGTGCCCAAGGAAGCGCAGAAGAAAGTGGGGACGACGATGAAAGTGGGGAGAGTGGTGACGAAGACGACAGTGGAGAATCAGGAGACGAAGAAGAATCTGGAAATTCATCTCTAACTAAAAGGGATGAAATCCCTGCCGACAAAACAGGTATGGAGAGTTGAGAGCCAGATAAAAACTACTGGAAAGTACCGTGCCAGAATACTGACACAAAAGTAACAAAATTAAATTACTAGCGATAGTGTCGTTAATAGTAATGTTAACCGAAGTATCTAAATATATATCTTCTTCCAGAGGGTTCTTCACCTCCAAAACCTAAAGAGACAGTGAAGGGAGCATATTCGGAAAAGAAGGAGTCGATCAAAACAAAGCAAGCAACAGATGCTTCAGGGCAGACATCTGGCGATGATTCGGGAGAAGATTCTGGTGATGATTCTGGAGAATCCGCTGAAAGTGCTGAATCAGGTGAAAGTGGCGAATCAGGGGACAGCGAAGAACATGGAGAATCTGCAGATGGGACCATATCTAAACGAAGCACGATTCCATCAGAGAAAGTGAACAAGCAACCTGAGACAGTGACTACGAAAGACAGYACCCTCGACAAAAGCTCTGAACAAATTAAAGCAAAGGCACAACAAACTTCAAAAGCTCCCGCTGTTGAAGATGCTTCTGCAGACAGCAGCGCATCAGGAGAAGGCAGTGGTGAGTCTGGGGAGAGCGGCGAAAGCGGTGATGAAGATGAGTCTGGGGAGAGCGGAGACGACGAAGAAAGTGGCGAGTCAGGAGAAAGTGAGGATGAAGAGATAGGGGAATCAGTTGATGCTACAGTTACAAAACGCAGCGAAATACCACAAGGTAATTGCAGACTATATACTGTAATACCAAAATGTTTGCAAAAGTATTAGAACATTAAACCTATGCTGCGAGCAGAGCTGAAGTGAATGTTTAATTATTTTKCAGAATCTCAAAGTGTTAACAAAAAAGCAGGTGATATGTCAGGAGGAAGTGCCGACGAAAGTGGGGGGTCTGGAGATGACAGTGGAGAATCTGGAGAGGACGACAGTGGTGAATCGGGAGAAAGCGGTGACGAAGAAAATAGTGGCGAATCAGCGGATGGTGCAATTGCAAAACGAAGTATTATACCAACAGAAAATACTGGTGAGTCAACAAAAGATGATATGTAAAAATTCCAATTCTAACGAATGTCTTTCGTTAAAGCAAATATAAAGTCTCAAGAGAAAAAGCCTTCAGCAGTTCAGGACTCATCTGAAGATGGCAGTGCATCAGGCGAAAGCGGAGACGAAGAAGAAAGCGGCGAATCTGGTGAAAGTGGTGACGAGGAMGAAAGTGGCGAATCTGGTGAAAGTGRTGATGAGGAAGTAAGCAGTGAGTCCGGTGATGAAGAGGAAAGTGGAGAATCTCAAGACAGTGAAATAACAAAACGAAGTGTAATTCAAAATGAGAATGCAAGTACGTTATACTAATAAACAAAATATCTGCAAAAAAAAATAATAACCGTACCTCACTTATTCTAGATAAGCTTGAAGAGAAAGCATCTGGCGATGCAAGTGGCGAATCTGGAGATGAAGAAGATAGTGGAGAATCAGGAGAAAGTGGGGAGTCAGGAGAATCAGGAGAAAGTGGGGAGTCAGGAGAATCAGGAGAAAGCGGAGAAGAAGAAGATAGCGGAGAATCTGAGGATGGAAATGTATCCAAACGAAGTGAAATTCCAACAGAGAAAAACGATATCTGTAAGTCAATTTCTTATTCTTAGTATAATCGCGCGCAAACATTATTCAATAATGATCTAACTGCAGTCACCAGATTAGCTAAAGCAGCAGAATCAGAAAGTGACCAAAATGAAGAATCTGGTGAGAGTGGTGAAGACGATGAAAGCGGAGAATCTGGAGAGAGTGGAGACGAAGAACAAAGCGGTGAATCTGGAGAAAGTGGTGACGAGGAAGTTAGTGGTGAATCTGCTGACACATCAGTTACAAAACGAAGTGAGATACCAGCAGACAAAGCAGGTGAATTAYATTTTTTTAAATAATGTCATGAAATGACAACGTTGCTTATGTAGTCCTCACAATTATTTCAACAGAATCAGGCCAGTCTGGAGCATCAGGTAACAAGGATGGTGAAGAATCTGGGGAATCAGGTGATGAAGAAGATAGTGGCGAATCCGGAGAAAGTGGAGAGTCAGGCGAAAGTGGAGAGTCAGGAGAGAGTGRAGAKTCAGRAGARAGTGGGGAATCTGGAGATTCAGCAGTTACAAAACGGGATACCGACGTCGCAGAAGAAAATGGTAAGTTCAAATAAGATAATGATACTTACCATTCTAGACTTATAAAATCTTAATTTGCAATACATTAATTCATCAGTGGACAATGAAGAAGACGAAAGTGGAAGCGTGAATGGTACCAATGACTCTGATAAAACAGAAACACCAAAGGAATCAGACAAAAACTTAAATAAACCTCAAGAAAGACTTAGCAGGAGAAGTATTATTCCAAGACCGGACATTCAATCAGATTTGGCAGCATTAAGTGAAGACATGACGGATTCAGCTCTTGGCCTCGAGACTGACGATGATGACTTTGAAGATGAAGAAACACCTGAGAGCATTGCAGGAAGTGCAGAACAAAAAGTTGCTGGAAAACAACGTGTTCAACTTATCAGCGATACTCTTGGTGATATTGGGCAGGCAGCACATGCAGTGAACGTTGAGAGAAAGTCAGACATTATGCGAAGTTTACCAAAGCAAACTGATTCCTCCAGTGGCGATGCAAGTGGATCAGGAGATCTGGAAACTCCAAATTCTAACAAAATCACTACTGAAAACCGAGCAGCTACAATAAAGAATCTATTCAACGCACTTGATGACAATGTGGAGACTGAAAAGACAACAGAAAAGTCAACGGAAAATGCTGTTCAGCCTACAGTAAAAAGCCAAGACGCAGAAAGAAGGTCACAAACCGAAAAGGTAAGTGTGAACAGCTAGTGTTTCTTATGTGTGGATAATACCAAACATATCGATTGACCCCAATTCATTGATGTTTCTATATTCAGACACCAAAACAGGAAAAGGAATTGAAGATGGAGGCAATGCTTGACAAGGTTTTAACACAAGGTAAGTCTCATGTTGGAAGTTTTCATGTTTTTATTTATTCAAATTTAAAAAAATAAACAAATAAAAATATTGTTTCCGGCAGATGATAGTGCTTCAGAAGTAGCTTCGCCATCAAGATTATTACAGGCTGAACAAAATGAGAAATCTGAGGTACTGAAATTAATAATCAGCAAAACTCAGACATGCCACCTGGCACAGTCCCTAACATCATTTTTGTACAATCAGCTTTCAGATATTCTTCAAAAGTCCACTGGAAACAGCCAATCGGCAGTCAAAAAAGGTTAGGGGATACTGGGATTAATTTGAGTGACTTTAAGGTGATAAATGTATTTATGATGRAATGTTTGCCAGATGTGAAAGCCCTTGAAGATTATGCTGCCGCTCTCACAGAAGTAGGGGGACTGACAACAGAGCACCATAAAGCCATATCAACTAAGCTGGCACTGGACATCATGGATGATTTGAATGTCCCAGATGCTCAAAGAAATAAACTTCTAGAGAAAGAAACAAGGTTTATCAAGGATGCCGAGTTGGCCGTCGTAAGAAGTATGTGTGACAGAGTCTACATACATAATAATGAATATGTCAAAAAGGGCAATAATGAAAAACAAATCAACAAAAATAATGCTGTTTCTCATTTCAGGTAAAATCGCTCAAGTACGAGAACAAATGATAAAATTTGCTGAGGAAAATCCTGGAGATAAAGAAAAAATTCGAGCAGAGACAATAAAGAGGCTGGACAATATTATTGATCGACTTCCTTTATCAAAATCAGTCATTGAACAGGAGTTTAAACAAATTAAAAGATCATCATTTTTACAGAAAATCATCCAATCAGCTTCACAAAAACATGAATTAAAACAGCGACTGCGAAGAGCCATTGCTGATTTAATAACTGAAGAAGTCATGAAATGAACTGTTGATGGATGAGAATACCGTGTGGATCAATGGTGTTTGTGTAGGGTGTAAAACTAACTGAACTCCAGAAGTTGGACATTGACCTACAAACCCCTAGAATACAAACAAGAAATCATGCGCAGTCCCATGAAATATTAAGGTCAATGATTATCCATTATCACTCCAAATTAGTTGTGGATAAATTTTCATGTACAGAAAATAACAGTGTATTAAAACATTCCATAAAAGTGCCAACAACCTTCAATAATTAGAGTTTTAAGGAAGTGTTGAGGCTGATAACATAATGAAATGTGCTTAACAGCATTTAATTTGGCAATTTACCTCTTGAAAAGGAAGCAAGGTTGTTGACACTTTTAGACCACTACTGTATATACTATATAGGTTTGTTCCATTTATCATCCTATATACATAAAACTTTCAAAAACAGAACAATAGTAGAAATAAGCAACTTACAATAGGTTATATTTATTGGGCTTCCTGTGCAGGGATTTGCCACAGGAAACCCATTCATCAAGGACATAATGTTTATGTTCTGATTACAATATTGGCGATTGATTATTCCATTGATTAAGGCTGATAATTTATGCTTGATATGCTGATTAATATATATGTTAATAATATTGCTACATTATATGTAGACCTGTATTTAGGTTGGTCAATTCTTTTGACCCTCATTTACATTGGTGGATTTTTTGACTGGAGCTACGTTAAGCTCTCACAATATTTTAGGAAATGAAAATAAAAGCAAAGAAAAAAACACTACTTGTTGTCTATTACTCTGTACTTCCAATGCTCTTATCATGGCATCAAACACATAACTACTTGGATTTCACTAGTTATTTTTTTATTTAAAAAAAAGACTCAAATACAAATTGAAAATTCTCTTCTTCCTTATGTCTCATTGGTGATGAAATATTTATGTTACATCTGGACAAGGGTTTTGGGCATTATATTCAAAAGCCAATCAAATTGCTTGTTAGAATTTTCATTTTAAAGGTTAGCTCCTTATCTATAACAACCAATTAGATTCCTTGTAAGAATCACCTAAATACCTAGGCACTCATTGTTGGTTTTTTACCAGTTCCTATAGTTCCTTAGCAACCAATCAGATAATTGTTATCATCTTAGAATAATTGTTTTGTTTGKATTTTACTGATAAATTTATGAATTGTAATTAAATTAAGCAACWTYCTTTTTAGAATCACTTATATCTAMCACACATTGTTGCAGGTTCATTGAAACAMTGCTGTAACAACAGCGGCACCAWAAGTGAGGGAGAGGAGACAGTGAGACTGGAATTGAGCACATTTTTCTCTATGCATGTTCATTTCTTATATTTGACATACAATCAAAAAATRAAACAATATTAAATTCCATTTCAATTTCAATTCACAGTTTCCATTTACCCCTGTATAACTATATTGGAATATGAATTGAGATACTTTCAATCCAGATACAGCACTGACTACCCACCATTGTACATTTTCATCAAATCTTATTGGACATTAACTTTGWTTAAACAGTGATGGTGGGAASAGTCCTTCCTTAACATAATCCTGCACAACCTGCAAGTGAGAAAATCATTTCAGCATCATTTCAGCTCCTTAGTGATCAAATTGTATAGCAATTCAATGCTAATGATTTTCTTTCTCCGTTACAATGTATGACAGTAATGTACCTCTCTRAGTGCATCAACTGTTGGTTCCAGGTGTTCATAGTTGAACCCAGTCTTTTGTATTTTTGTTCCATCAATGTATAGATGTTTGTCATACAAAAGTTCCTAGTAAAATCACACAAAGTCATAACTTAGCAAATTGAAGGAAAGAGGAGAGAAAAGTTGAGAGAATACAAAATGGAGATTAAAAGAAAAGTAAAATATAATGAAAAAATTCAAAAATGGAAATGTCTTAAAAAAGAAAGGCAGTAAATGAGAAATGAAAATTGGATACAAAGGGGTAGGAGTGAGAAAAGAGATCACAAAAAACATAGCTAATGGGCAAAGTATTGGATGAAAGGGAAGGAMTTACCTGGTCAAGRTAAGGGCTCAATGGAGTTGCATGTATGCCATCATTCTCACAAGCCTGAGACCACGGTTCAAGATGTTTATCATTAGATTCTTCTACTGTACTTTCCATGTTTACCTAAAGAAGGCAGTGTCATCAGGTCTTACTATGATAATGCTCAAGGAGCTATATCCTTTACTTACCCGAGCAAGGTTTGATAGAACTGTTCCAAAATATGTGTGCTCAATTCCAAATATTTCACACACCAGAGATGTTATACTTCCTTGTGCTGTATGAAAGATCAGTCAAAAATCTTAACAACTGTAACAACATAATGCTAATTGATTGACGGCAGCCAAGCTACTTTTATAACCTTTATGATAATTTTAAACTGATAAAATTCAATTGTCATTCTGTTTTATCATCAAGCTTATAGACAAATAATGCACACAATCATATCTTCCCTATCCACTACACATACAAGAGTCAGCTTTGTCACAGAGGTTGTAAACTTCCCCTGAGTCTCCATTAGATGTGAGATGCCATAATGCCCTACAAACATCCAGTACATGAACTGTGTTCATCTTTAAGTCTTTTGTCCAAAGCAACTAGGATTAACAAATCAAAATAATTTAATTGGTAAGCACATTGCTACAGCAAAATCCTTATTGTCAATTAATGTCAATTTACCTTCATTTTTTCACCAAGTTGTTTGTATACAGCTCCAATTATGAGTCGTGGAGCTGCAATAAAAATTCAAAATCCATGAGATTTTAGACATTGTCAGTAAATCAATGGGTGTAACATACTTAAGCCTTGTCTTGCACCTATTCCATATGTTATTGCAGGTCTGACAATGATGTAGTTTAGCCTAAAAAAGACAAAATACTTTGATTATTATGTCACTAAACGCAAATGAACTGTTAGGCTTGCTTTCAATCCCCAATATCATAACCAGAACAATCAAAATGATAATAGTAACTTTTGAAATAACAGTTATTTTATAATAAATTCAGACAAGTCTAGTCAACTTTCTACTCACTTCTTACCCTTCAATATTGGCCAGTTCATTCTCAACTCTAAGTTTACACTTTGCAAATTCTGTCCATGGCTGCAGCTTTCCATCTTCCTCCTTTTCTTTCTATATTTTTCATTTATAAAATTATATAAATTATAGCTGTCAAACCATTGAACCACAGGGTAATCAAGAAGCACCAACTGGGCAGAAGACCCTCTTATCAAATGATGAACAAGCATAAATCATACCTTATCAGATGAGTACACATGTCCTGTTGATAATTCTAAAAATCTCTTGATGTTGTGCTTTACTGCCTCTTTGGCACAATTGATGCTCAGTTTGAATACCCCATCTTCATAGACCTGTTAATTTTAATTTGTACACATGTTTTTGTATAAATATTTTACACAAATCACATTAAAGTGCACATGACACCATTACAAATTCATTCTCATCCAAAAGAGAAAATGCTGCTAAGTACTTCTGTGAAGAAACAAATTGATTTTAAATTGTATTTTCTAAGTTATGGGCAATTGAAACTTAGAAAATGCAAATTAAGTGACGTCTACTAAGGAATGATTTAATATACAAAATCATGAAAGAGGACGTTATTCTTTTTCTTACACTGGAAAAAGCATTTTCAGCTCTCAATTATTACTATGGTTAATGACTTGAGCTCTTCAACCAAGAACAGCATAGCGCAAACAATGTAAAAAGTCTGGACCAATTCCTTAGTTGACGTCACTTCATTTGCATTTTCAATTTTCAAATGTCTATAACTCAGAATATACTATTCAAAATCAATTTCTTCCTTTACAGAAATGCTTGTCAGCATGCTACCTTTYGGATAAAAGTGTTTTTCTAAAAGGTGTCATGTGCACTTTAACTTGTTGACTAGAGTTTTGAGACCTGAGTACTTTAACTCAATATTTATAGGAGAGATGTGGAGATTTTTTTTTTTTTAATCAAGTTCATTAATCTCATTATTTTCATGGCCATGAAGGACTTGAAAAATGTTGAAAAAAATTGCTCTTATTTGCATACAATTCAATGCTGCCTGTGGTGTCACCACCACTGAGGCAAAGTTATGTTACCCTAGCTACTATTCTGTTTTTGTTATTTTTGTTGTTGCACAGTCACATGCAATTTGTTTTATAATTACACTAGTCTTGTTAATTTTACCTCTTTAGATTGTCCATGTTTAGTTTCTCCTGCCAAATTGATGCAGAAATCAAATCCATCCTTGTCCTGGAAAGCTTTCTCTATACTTGCTAAATACAAAGGAAAAATTACAAAATAAAGATATACAAAAGTTACTGATTTTCCTTCCATCCTATACTAGAGTACATTGAACTCACAGCAGATCTTATACAATTTTCATCTACCCCACAGGTCCAAGATAGTATAACATCCTTTAAAAAAGTGGAGTAATATAAAATAGCAAAAAATGTTACTTGCTGGCCTGATATTGGTCCATATTATTGAAAAACTGTTGTCATTCTTGATGATCCTTTGCTTTTTAATTTAAATTTTAGGTTTTACAAGGGCTGAAAATATAGTACCTGGATTTGAAAGATTTGCACTTTTGAACTCTACACAGCTGTGATTGAAGGCTGCCTTTGAAAGAAAATGATAGATTTTAATTGAATGAAAGACAACATAAAGCAAATATTTATTGATTTAGAATATACCTTGTGTTTTTCATTCAACCAGCCTGTTGCAGGAGGAACCTTGTCGACAGCTCTAATCTAAAAACATTATTGATTCTTATAATTCCAATTGATCAAGTATTGTGTGGTCATATTTCACTTAAAATATTAGTATGTACAAGGATGAAAATATATAGATGTTATGAAATTAAAACATTGAAAAAYGTTTTCGACTATGAGTCATTTTCAGTTGTGTCAAGTATTAATAATATAATCAGATATTCATACCTTAGAGCACAGCTCATTATCCACTAGGTAGTTGACTAGATTGCGCCCAACGAAACCAAGACCTAAGATAWTAAATGCATTGATTGTGATTTTATATACAATTTATGGCTTTGAATATAATAAAACAACATTAATTAACAAAACCAACAGACAAATATCAATTAAAATCACTCAATTTAATAGTTTCTACAAAAGTAAGAGACTGAGCTTTACATGTATGCATCAAATAACTTAAATGGGAAATTGAAGAAGGGTTAAAAAGTGAAGAGAGGACGATAGGAAGTGAATAGGAAATAAAATAGAGAAAACAAGCACTTTCAAAATCATCCACACATTGAATTATATCACGCGATATAATCAATAGTTAATTAAGCTTAACTAGTTAAATGATTTTTTAGTCCATTTATGCCGGCCCGCCCCCTTTGTTCTCATCAATTCACAACTACAATATATCTTTCATTACATATACATAATAAAATCGCCATGATTCCCCGATAAAATAGTTAACAGCTATAAATATCTAACACAGTTCACTTCAGAATTAAAGGCGATAAAGAAATGAATTCGCATAACAAAACGATTATGATAAGTTGAGGTCTTGAAACGCTTAAGCTTCAAATAAACCAGTACCGAAATTTCGACATGTTGACTGAGGACAAGTGAAATATTACTCATTTCTGGAAGTCTTTGAAACTTAAGTCTTGGAAAGATATCAAAAGATTCGATCTTCTCGAAAACGAAAGCATTCGCCAGAAAATACCTAGTCCGGTCTTTCAGCATAAATCTGGATGCACGCGGTGCAGAATTTCAGGACAAATTAAATTATAACTTAAGCTAGTTAACTAATATCAGCTGTTTTTAGAAATTGAAATACACATTGATAACAACACTGTAGCTTATAATATTAAATGCTTACCTCCAAGGATAATAACTCGTGGTTTATCAGCCATGATCAGATAAAAACCATAAAGAAAGTTGTCTTGTATATTTGGCTTTTATGATCCAGCTGAACAGCACGGCAGTGAGAGCGTTGGAATGTGTGGTTCGAAAGTTCACCACTAATATCAGGAAAAATCTTTTCGCAAACGTTTATCCAGGGATACCTTTCGACCACTTTCTCAGCTTCAGATATTTGAGTGTAGCATGTTTATGATAGCCTCAGTTTTATATTGGATCTTTCACATTCACATCCCTCACACACATGGCCAAAACAATCCTTCAATCTGGCTCCTCCCCCTATTAGGAAACAATTCGGTGATTCATATCGAGGCAAAATCAATTAAAAGCAAGTACTGATCTTTCGATCTTCATTACCTATTTGAAGAGAGAGAAAAAAGAATWAAAAAAACAGGCAATTTTTAAAAAGGTTTGTTTGCAGAGACATAATTGAAGAATCWTGCCGGAATATGTATACTTTCAGAAAGCAAAGAGATGTCGTTTTTCGTAATTCCAAGTGCTGGCTAACAAATTGATGGACATTCCTGCATTGCTTATACGGTTTAGAACATTTGCAAAGTTGAAATTATACAATGGCGGGAAAAAAGATCAAATTTCATTTCATTCATATAACATACGGGAAACGGAAAACCTTGGAAAGATATGCAAGGCTGGTGGTATGAATTTACATCCTACAAAACTTTAATATCAACTTTATCATGGTAGTTATGAAGAAAATAGTATAGTTATTATATCTAAAATAGGGTGGAGTTATTTTCTTAGCTACTATTAAGTCTTTTTAGCATTTTAAAAGCCAAAATGTTTTAACGTTAGCCATGTATATTTTAACTGTTTAGATGAAAAGCCATATTCTCTTTACAATTTCGGTCACGTGATTAGCTTTGCCACGGCGTCTGTGGATATCGAAGGCAGGAAGTGTGTCGTTGTTCGAGAGTTTGCCATGTGCTTCCGTTGGGAATTTCCGGCCTGAATTTTACCTACAATTCTGCAATAAGTCGACCTGGACTGCGTTAAAAGCTTGTTCTTTTCGTAAGCATATATATCAGGAGTGTTTTATGTGGTTTTCTATTCAAGGTAAGTCGAAATCGTCGCATTATACAAGCAAAATTGGGTGATCTTCGGTCATAAGCCTTCCTTGTTGTAGAAATTTTGCCTCTACTCATAATGTACACACAGCGACTGGTATCGTACGCGGCTTTACTTCACGTTTAGGAACTTATGATATTTTGTAGAACATAGATGCTGCATTTTTAGTGTTGTRTGATTGTATCGAATGCACAGATTTGGCTGGAAAGTTATTGACTACCGGTTTACAAGAAAGGGCCCCGCGAAAAAAGAGCTGCATAAATTACAAACGGTAGCCGGATATAAAATTGGAGCTATGTTTTGGGTCTTTGTGCCGAGTAGACTAAAGAGGGCTACACAAAACTCGAATGAGATATTCTTTAAAGTATCTTGTTTTAGTATTTTAGTCGTTTGATTTGATGTAACAAGCTTCCAGAGATATTTCTGTTCCGAATTCTGTTTTCGTTGGTGTTTTGTAATTAGATCGTCGAGGCCATAAACCGTTGCGAAGGAAGTCAAAACATTATGCACTTTTCTTCGATGTATCTGTTAAATTATTAAATCAAAACACTTTAATCAGTAAATAAGATATGCTTATGTGTTAAAACATTTACAAACAATAAGTGATCTTCCGACAGTCGAGTTTTTAGATTTTTGTCTCGTCAATTTTTAGCATTCAATATGGCGGCCAGCACTTCCGGAGTTCAGTTCTTTGTGTACATTGGATGGATTTTCGTCATTCCTTCTTTGAAATACGACTGTTTGATACCTCAAAAACACTTTTTTTGCTCGTTGTTCTTATGATTATAATTCTAGGAATAATTGCGACTGTTTGGCCCCTTCTTTATATATATTCACCTGTGCAAGTTCTTATAAATTGTCATTTTGTCATTATTTTAAAGAAATTGTATTTCAAGCAGTGTTATCCACAGGGCTTTGTTCATTTTTTATTGCTAGATTGTCATTTTTACACTTATTTTGTTTACACTTAAGTTTTGAGTTGGCTGCAATGTACATAAAGTATTTACCTTTGAGTGCCAAATACTACACCTCTGCTCTTAGTCTTGTCAAATCTGAACACCATATAGGCTGTACTCTGTTTTTATAACAAATGCCTACCTTATTCATAACCACCTTTCTACAATCATACTCTGTTTTTATAAACAAATGCCTACCTTGTTCATAACCACCTTTCTACATTAATTTCTATCATGTATCACATTCGGACCACTCATTATTTTAAGAAGTGAAGTATTTCATTTATTATTCTTTGATTGAGATGTTGATTGTTATGGTTTTTGATAGGATAAAGTATGAAAGAGAATGAAAAATTGTCTCTTGTTGACTTGGGCAAAAGACTTCTAGAAGCATCTCGCAATGGACAGGCTGATGTTGTCAAAGAACTAATGCAAAATGGTGCTCCATTTACAACGGACTGGGTATGTGCATTGGTATTGATATTTATYCCATTTCTATATCTTTCTGTTTTGTTTACAATTGATGTTGTTTTCAATAGCTTGGTACATCTCCACTCCATCTAGCTGCACAACATGGTCATACTCAAACAGCTGAACAATTATTGAGGTCTGGTGTTAGTAGAGATGCAAGAACAAAAGTTGATAGAACCCCTTTACACATGGCTGCTCAAAATGGGCACCTCCCAATTGTAGAACTACTGATCAGTTTTGGTGCTTGTGTCAATAATAGGGATATGGTTAGTGAAGTGACATGAGACTTTTACAAATATGTGGTGTTGTAGACTGATTATACCTTATGTACCATCATAACTCAACCTGTGTAGTTTACAACTAGAATTCTGCAGCATCATTCATGTAGAGAATRCTTATACATGCATATGCAATATGTGATTGAGATATATTTCTAAACTGTATTGTAGAGATGTGTGTAACGCTATGATTGCTGAGGTATCTCTTTCTACAAGATTATACAAATAATTGTTCAAACATTAATTTGTGTATTTTTAGTTGAATATGACACCTCTTCACTGGGCTTGTGAATACAATCATAGTGAGATCATCAAAGCACTGCTACAGGCCGGTGCACAAAATGACATTGTGAATAAGGTATGATTAATCAGAGAACTCAAATCTCAACTTTCAAACGTTTACTCATAGCTATACCTTTCTTATAGTTTGGTAAAACACCATTAGACATTGCTGGAAAAAAATGTGCTATTGAAAGTGTGGCTTTACTGAGCGCAGGACAGATACATGTAAGTAGACATGCATCTCTACTAGAAAAGTTGTACTATATCATTCATTCTAACATTTGTCTACTCTCTGCACTTTATAAGTCTATCTCACTACGGCATTTTTATGTTGGATTCAGGAACAAAGCTCAGCAAGTGAGAGTAAGTCTCCTTTAGAGAGCAACAAGAGGCTTGGTAAATGTCAACATCTTTTACTCCGATCTTTTGCTTATTTGTCCTTTGCTGAATCAGTGTTATAAGTTGTGTTGTGTGCTTTCTTCTCAGCTGAAAGAGCAACAGTTAGCATTAACAGTGTAAAGAAAAGACAAAGAACTAAAAAGTTTCCAATGACAGCTGGTTCATGGACAGGAAGTGATGCTACTCCTGGTAAATAGACATCTTGTCAGTTATTGTTTATTCACTTAGTGATGTTTATTTATATTTTCTTAGTTAACATAGGAAAGAGTCGTAAAAGAAGTAGCGGAGCGCCAGCAGCACTTAATGCGAGTGGTAACACTACGTTGCCTAATGGAAGAAGACTGTCTGCACAAACACAGTACCAGAATGCAGGTAAGCTTGGTTCCTTGTCTTGTAACTGGATTGCTTTGCTACACCTCGATAGTATTGAATTAGTGCTGTTATACCTAATTAAATAACATTCATTTTCATTGAAGGATCACCATCTTTGAGAAGCCCAACAGAGAACTCAATAGCATCATTAGTTTCAGCAGCTGAACTGGTGAAATCTAAAGCTGAGGCTCAGCAGACTGATGGTAAACAGTTCTTATTTATTGCTATTTAATTTCTTTGTAAATAATAGGTCACTTTGGTTTATAGTCCAGGAGCTGGTTGTATGTAGGAGGTGTTGTATGAAGGATCTTTTGGATAAATTCTTATCCAGCAGATAAATCCATACAAATGTACGAGTTGAAAACTTTACCTAACTTTGTATAACCAACCCTTGATTTTTATCCATTTAACAGGTATTGTGTCACTTTCAATACAGTATCTATATTGTGTCTTTTATCTTCAGCAACTGCCACTACATCTCAAGATTCTAGTGTACTAGACACTTTGGCAACTCTGGCCACTGCAACACTAAGCCACAACACTGGACCAACACCATCATCGACTACACAGCATGTGACAGCAATATCAGGAAGAGGGATAAATGTTGCACCACTTACCCTAACAACAGGCACTGCATCACATGCAGCAAGTGCCTTGACAACTCCACTCACACCATCAACATTATTCCCACTTCAGTCCCCACTTGCAGCTCTGTCAGCATTGACATCGCTATCAACGCCAACACAAACCAGCCCACTACCAAACATAGCAATGTCACCACTTGCATTCCAAATGCCAGTCAATCTAACACCACAGCAACTACTTATGTCAGGAACTCAACTTGTTTCATCTGTTGCTCAGCAAGGAAGTGTTCCTTCTACATCTGTGATGAGCACTGCTGAAAGCTCAAATTCCACWTCATCTGAAAGTGCAAACCTGCTGACAAGTATTGCCCCTGCACAATTGCTCACTCAACCTTTTTTGGCATATACTGGTGGTGGTAATACAGGACATTTCTTAACACAGATTCCTCAAGGTAACTAAGAGGAATAATCAAAGTTTTGTTGTTGTTGCACTTGTTGTATACTGAGCTGGACTGAATAGGTTATAATCAATGACTGTTTGTGTTTAGGTCMAGCCAAAGTAGAACATGACAACTCAAAGACACAGGTAATCCACAGCCCACAATAATGCTTGTTTTAAACATAGTTAGCTAAATGTAATGTCTGTGATAAATGAATTTTTGAGATTTTTTTTTCAGCTATTCACTTCAATTTCTAGTTTTACTGTTAAAATTTACACATTGTATGTTGTTTCCTCTCAGGATTCTGCAGAACAAAAGACAGATGATTCAACAGGCCAACAAACACAAGAAGTGTATGTAACAGTACAAGTTCCTTCTAATATACCCACTGTACAATCTCAACAGATAGGCGAACATAACTTCACCTTACAGCCTGTAATTGTACAACCAGGGACCACTGGAGATCAGAATTTACTTGCAGCACAGGTACAAGTTCTTCTTGTCTAGAATAAACATATGTCAAACCCACTTTGCCATTATTTGAAGTGACCATACTTTGAATCTGCAGACAGTAGGAGGTGAGAAAAATCCCGAACAGCCAACGTCCACCACCACATCACAKCTAGTCCAGGTCCAGCTGCCACCAGGAMTGRTATCACAGTCACCTGGACAGTTTGTCCAATTGCCAGGGGTACCAGAACCAATAAGTATTGCACAGCTACAACACCTTTTAGTCAACCAGAACATGGCAGGCACAGTTCCACAGGTGGTCATCAGTCCTCAAAAAATACAGCTAGCTCCAAGTATGTACTTTTTTATGTAGTTTATATTAGTTTTGCCTTCTTTTTTCTCTTTACCAAGTGTATGTTTTATACTGATGTTTCTTTTATGGTGTTTTTAGGCTCCCCTCTACAACAAGTTAGTACACAAGCCCCTCAACCAAGTCAAGCCCAGGCTGCTCCTTCTATCATGCCACAGCAATCGCAGCAGCAGCAGCAGATATCCCAACAGTTGATGCAGCAATCAATACCACAAGGTCTACTGCATCAGAGTGCTGTAGCTCCAGTAGAATTACAACAATCCCCACTTCCCCATTCAATCCCATCCCAGGTACAGACACTTAAAACTTGAGGTTAGATCACATTGACTTGCTACTTGGTAACTGGCATATCTAAACTTGCTTTTTAGGGTCGTTTCACACTGCTAATTATAGTTAGTAGACCACCAGTCAGTTGCAGGGATTATTTTGATTGTTTTCTATTGTTTAAGCTGTAGTATCAATAAGTAACAACCATAGGATAACAGTAATGACTCTACATGTTTATTTTCTTTGCCTTTCATATTTTTGTCAGAATTATGAACAACATATTTGATACTGTAGGTGTTTCTACAAGTGCAGGAGGATTTTCGCAAGCTTATTGAACAACAAAAGGTAGAAGAAGAGAGGCAGAGAAAAGAACTTGAAGAAAAAGTTATTACACTAGAGCAACATAGCAAGAAATACCGCTCAGAACTGGAGATTGCACAAAAAGCCGCTGAAACATATCGAGACCAGCTTCAAGCTGAATCAAGAGAACGTGCTCGCCTTTCTCAGCTTTATGAATCCCCCAAGAAAGGATCTAACAACACAGCAAGTACAGTTGTTGAATCTGCACAAAAGTAATAGGTTTTAACTAAAGTTTTAGCTGATGTTTGTTGAGATCAAGGATTTCTGCAGTAGAACAGTGGGATAAGAACCACTTTAAACTGTACACAAGAATATAAGAACAACGACTAGTTATTGACTAGTGCAAATGCATCTACAGCATTTAATCATATTTAATAGKTTTCACTTTTAGTTTCCACCAAAGAAACCCTTTTGTAAGAGAAACATTTTGCAAGATGGTCTATCAAACACTTTCATTGATTCAACATTTCTTTGTAAAACTATCTTGTATAATGCCACCTTACTGGAATTTAAAAGTCAGACCARTGGAAGGGTTAACAACCCAATAGCTCTATGTTAGAACTTAATTTTGATTGGCTTTCTTGTAACTATGTACATAAACATATATATGCTTTAATTGAAATAACACTAATCTAAGTTATTACATTAGGTGTGACCGTAAAGAGTATGTATAATGCTAGATTCAGCCTTGATTTGCATGGCACGTGTTCTCTGTAATACACMTGGTATGCAGTAATATGTATGCAAAGTTTATGTATTTTAATCRGTTTTTAGAATGAAAAAGTCAACCCAGGTTTTAGCAAAATTATATTTCAATAATTTAATTTCATTAAGTATAAAATGCTTTTTTTAAATTGGRTTATTTGTCACATGGTGAGTCTGTATTATAGATGGGTCATTTMACTACCAGAATGCTTTGCATATTTCCATTATTTAAATCTTTATCCCCATTGAAGTTTCACTAAGGAAAATGGTCTTGTTAGTGCCATCAATGCATGCTGCCCTGAAATAGATATTTATTATAATTACAGAGTACTGACTTTCTCACTTTTTAAAAATGATTTTGCATGTTTTTGTAAAGGTGGTGTTGGCAATATCTCAGGTAACCTGGTACYAGCACTCCATCTAGGCTACATTTGTGTGGTTTACAACATTCTTAAATATCTTTGTCAGTTATTATGTGCTTGCCCCAGGCTTACTTTTGTCAGTATGTGAAATCAACACATCTGTTCTTTTTGAAACCAACAAGGATTTTTTTTTGTTATTTTTATACAGTCATTTTGTGATGACGTGATGAAATAATAGGTCACAAATAAAACAATAATTATTGAATAATAATAATAATTTTAAATTATTTAATMATTATTTAGTTGTTGTTTATTAAGTGGTATGTATATACTGCAAAATCTTGTTTGACATAAATTCATACAAACCAAGTACAAATAGGTTTTCTGTGAACTTTAATATTGTATAGCGTATACATGGACATTGTTAGAAAGAATCATATTCTGTAATCATTAAAAATGCATCCATTACAAAAACTGAATGAGCTCTAAACTTGGAAAATTAAAATACTTTTCAATTTGATAAACAAACGATAATTCACAGATAGTTATAATGACCTACAAACATTATTTTCTGCACTCCAACAACAATGATCCTCAGTTTGAAAAATACTAGAAATGAGCGCTGTCATCAAGCCATACTTAGGTCATCAATGTTCACTTAAAGTTGATGAGTTGTCTCTTGCATACTGATTTCTTTACTTTGGGTTGTTTTCTAGACTTCTTCCTTGGTATAGTAGCAGAAGGAGTGGATAGTGTAGTCTTCATTCTTTTCAATTTACCACATCTGTTTGTTGGTGATGGCGTTTTAAAACTGTCTTGGTCCTTAAGAGGATCCCTTGTTGGTCTATCTGTGTTCAAACATGGTGTAGTGTTCTTTGTATCATGTTTTACTGATTTGGTTTGTGATTTGGGATGGGATTTAAGTTTTTTGGATGATGTTTTTGATTGATTAATGATGGGTGACTCACTGGTGAAACCATGTTGTACCTTGGTTCGTCTTYTCCTGGATTTTGTTTTTGAGTTTACTTGAGGTTCAATTGTACTGACAACCTCAATAGATGCAGCTATTGTTGTAAGCCCAACCTCACTAAAGTCAGTTGTTTGGCAAACTGGTCCACTATGAATAGGGCTCTCTAGATGAAAACACTCATTTTCTGAGACTGTATGACCAGGACTGAGCTCAGCAAATGTTGGTGAGAAGCCTAGTTTTGGTGTTGCAAATGGTGATACATAGGAGAGTGGATCATCTGACATAACACCACATGGTGTACATGTACTGTTGTCTTGTGAWTTAGGTGACTGGGAGAGGTCTTCAGTGGAGATTGGATTGGAAATTCCTCTAAACATGTGCAACACCTCTTCTGGAGATGAAGGGACTATGAAAGGACTCATAGTATCAGGAAATCTATCACCATTCTCTTCATCAGTGATTTGTGGTACAATGATGACTTGGGATGAAAGAAGTCCTGTCCATGAGGGTCCTGTGATGTATTGCGCCTCATTTGTATGTTGAGACAGTACAGAGTATTCAGGACTAAATGAACCTCTGTCTGGACTGACAGTAAGATCACCTATATTCTGTACTGTTGTATCATCACTCTCTTGTACTGTTTGGTTGTAATCAGATGGTGTGCCAGGAACTAATTGGTTCTGAAGTTCAAGTAGCTGTTCACAGCATTCATGTATGGCTCTCTYRTGGTCATCTTGTGGGCAGCGCTGTTCAACTACACCAACTTGGCTTCTGGATGGCAACAGTTCATCCTCTTCGGGAATACTGTTCATGATAAGAGCTGAATCTAGTAGAGAGTTGCTATCTGAGTCAGTAGGGACTTCAACAACAAATACRTCTCCCATCAATTCCTCCTGAGGATTTTCTTCAATTGTTAATGATTCATTACCAGCAATAGTCTTAGTGATGTCTGATAGTTTTATCCATTGTCTTTTTACTTTGCCATTACTTGTTGAGTATTCTGAAGTACTCTCATTTAGATTTTCTGAAGATTGCAAGCACTCRATAGTGGGTGAGTCTGTAACAACTTGAGTCTCTTGTTCCTCTGAAATTGTTTCTTTGCAGACATCAAATCGAGATACTCCCAAACCTTTGATAAGTAAAAAAAAAAAAAAAACTGGTAGGTAAAGGGTGTAAATGTATACATTCAAGTACTATAATTACATTCTTACCTTCCAACTTTTCAATCATTTCTTTTATATATTCCACAGTGAAGTCTAGAATGTGAAGCTGAAATAAACATAGATTATGGGTTGAGTAATAGTCTTGCATATAGAAGAAACCAATGATAGTATCTTACCCTACTCCAGGATCTCTGTGAGCCAGGTAAAACACCACAAAGCTGCTCAATGGCTTCTCGTATTTCAACACAATTTCGACTGAAAAAATATCACACAGTAAGTTCAAAGTTCCACAAGGACAGAAGTAGGTTTTTATTCAACATGAAATAGTTGTAGTTGCCACGATAAAAGTAAAATTCCATTTTATTGAATTGGTTATTTCTATAAATGAGTAATAGCTGAGTGAAAGTAAAATGATACAGTTTTGACATCACCAACTGATGTGGCCAGCGCAATTTGTAAATTTGATTTCACACAACTTACTGGTCTCGTTCTCTTTTTCTATCCTTGTCTTCAACMCGTGGTGTTTTTGGTCTACTGCGTACTCTTGGTGTTTTCTTTGATTTTGCAGTATGTTTATTAGGTTTGGGTGTTGTTTTTGTAGAACATGGAGGTTTTGACTTATTACAAAGGGTACCAACTGCAGCCTCCTTGTTTGGTGTCTGTAGATTTACACATTTTACAGGAGTTTGATTGTATGATGATGTACTTTGAGGGACCTGATGTACTTCATCTTCTTTCATACTTGGATGGATTCTCTCTGGTTCCTGCTGATAATGAATTTATAAGGCTCTCTAAAATGCATGGTTCGACATYACAAACTGTTGTAGAAAGCAATGGACAAAAAATAGTTGCTCTTTTAACATCCTGGCCAAGGTTCTGTACTAACTTAGCAATCAAAAAGCAGGTTTTGAGGGATTCATGATAACCAAATTTAGATATTGTAAGAACAGAATCTTGTACAGAAACAGTTGTCAAATAAGATAAATTTTAAGACCTTAAAAAGTAGGTGAAATAACTTACTGACATTTCAGATGCCGATCCTTTCTTGTAGCAAAGTTATTTCACAGATAGTACTTTTTACAGTGTTAATATTTATCTAAGATTGATTGGACACATTACCGGTATAATRATGGTCTGGATAGTATCTTTATTCTGTGTTGTAGGTATCATGGGTAAATGTTCTGCAGAGTTCCAAGATGTACACTTGGAAACTGTGCCTTTTCTAGCAATCTAAATCAATAATTATAAAAAGTACATTTCAATGAAATAAAGGGGCTGGCAATAATGGTGTTCAATCAAAGTTTCATACCTTCTTTGATCTGGTGTGCTTTGATTTTCCAGAAGCCAATAATCGTCTTCTGTAGCCTTGTGGTGGGGTACCTGCAGTTAGCAAATAACTTGTCAGAGTACTCCATTGTAAACATATTGGGTTTTACACCAGTTACTCAATTAGAAATCAAATCTACCTTTGAGATAAATTGGTTGATTTTCACTTTTTTTGCCTACTTGGGCCTGATGATTCTTTGGAAGATGCTTATCATGACCCTGTGTAATGACATACTGTTGTACRTTGCCCCTGATAGGCTGTAGAGGAGCAACATTCTTAGATACTAACACTATCGGAGAACAGTGCCCCTTTGTCTCTGAGTAACGAGGGGAGACACGAATTACTGTTGAGTTYTTAGGCTGAGCCAAGGAAGTCTTCTGAGCTGGAATATCTGTCAATGAAAGAAAGATGAGATTGACCTTTTTTTAATAGCAACACTGCCAAATCTGTAATAAAAACAACACAAAAAGAAATCACAAGAAATTGTTATTACAATTTTGAGYCATCAATTAAACCAAATATTTATGGATAGTTGAGAGGATACTGCAACATATTGTTGTCTCAAAATATGAAACAATCAAGTGAAAAAAATAYCATACCATTATGTGTAATCATTTTTTTTGGTGTCTTGAAAATGTGTTTGTCATWAGTAGTCACAGCCTGAGSTGTGGCTGCACTCCCTGTACTTGGATGAGATTGGATTGGACTTGGAAAGCTAAGCATTGATACAGTCCTCATTTTACTATTCAAACAAGATGTATTTGATGGGCAMATCAAAGTACTGGGCCAAGTTTGATTTTGGATGCTGGATTGTTCTGTATTACTAGCATAATGAGTTCCTAATTGTGCTGTTAAACCAAGATGTTGCCTTGGATCGATGTAAAATGGACATAAACTGCCATATATTGGAACAGTTATTGCAGTATTAAATGTACCTGACATTATCAACATACATGGAATACCATTACTGTCATAAACATGTGAATAACCCAACATGGCTGGGAGTGAAGAGCCTGGAATAGATGCTGTACAGCCTTGTGGATTTGATAGACAAGAAACTGTTCCATTGTTCACCAATGCATTACCTATAGCTATGTTGTTGGACASACTATACAGTGAATTAATGGGCTCTTGAGTGTTTGTCACTGACAAAGGTGTTACAGGTAGTCCAGTAGACTGATGATACTGTGGGTTTGGTAATGCCRTACCAATTGTAKGTCTTTCTTGATCTCCTGCCTCTTTATGAGATGTTGCACCTTTGCAGTCTTGTACAGGTAGTGATTCAGTTGCATATTCTGTATCATTTGTTGGTAAATATGATGTTAGTAAGCACCCTTCTGGATCTTTAGAGGATACCATTGGATTTAACTCATGTGGAGAAATACTGGGGTTCAGTACTGAATATTTTGCATTGAATTTCTTCATAGATGAAAGACTCTTCTCTAACATGCCAAAATCACTAGACTCCTCCCTATCTTGACCATCACAGTTTACATTTACATCATGATTATTTGTGAAAGTTTTCCTGTCATCTGTGATATCAGCTTTATTTCCTTTCAAAGAGTCAAGTTGTACATATCTTTCAGAGTTTGATGATTGATTCATTGCAATTCCTTCAGGGACTTTAGCTTCATTAGTAACTGGACAATGGTTTGGCATGGTTGGTGTTGAAGGGACATGTTGCATTGACGCTTGTACTATGAGAAAAGAAATCATGCAATATTCAGAATATTAATAATTACTACTATAACATTTAACAACATTTAGCTATTCATTACAAAATGCAATTAATAGTTATTATTAAGAACAAGAAGCACTTTATTGTGATGAAACGATGTTTCTCGGTTTTCTCGACCTACCGTTCTCGTATTTAAAATTTTGCCCAGCGTCAGTGAATTCCTCACTTTTTTCTGAGACTTTTGCCTTTAAAGACTCCAGGTTTTCCATTATAGATTAAATACAAAATCCATTGTGCATTCAAATGAACAGACTGAAGTCCGTATAGTACAGACAAAAGTGTAGACTGGAGAACAAACACAATTTGGTCGGATTCTGGTCGCGTTTTGCCGCCAAGACCTCAAATTTAGCAACAATCTTGTTTGTTTTGGGTTTTTTCGCTTAAACGTCCGGTTACCCAACGGTACTTCTTTGTTCAAATGTAACTTACAAAAATACAAGCACTATTTTTTGTGTCAAAATAGGCAATTCCTTAACGTTTTCCCTTATACTTACAGAACACAACGATTGTGAATCAAAATGGCGGTAAAACGTTCCCACGTGACTAATGCATCCAATTACAAACTGTGTAGGGAGGGGTGGAGTAACACGTGAAAATTAAGATTTTCAATATATCATTTCCATATCTGGATTATGTTGAGTCTTTACATGACTAAAAACGACTTTGTTTATATATTGAAGCATTTAAAAATAGACAAAAGCTCAAGTTCAAAATGTGCTTTATTTGCTGTCATTTCAAGACTAGGACTGGAGCCACATGAAATTTAAACTATACAACAATTTGTGAAATTTTATCAAATCCAATAAATATTTGAATATAAATACTTTATGAAAAAATAATTGCCAGCACAGATCCAGAATCCAGGAATTGATGTGGCAATTAAAAAGGAAGTGCATATAAAATGGTAACATTAGGCATCTTGTTATTGTTATTCCAGTCACATTAAATACTTATTTTAAATATTATTTATCAATTCAGGCAATGCATCAAATTCCTTAATTTTGCAGTGCACACCATTATCTTGGTATAAAATTAAAAAATTGAGAACATTTTCAATTTTTATAAATAAGTTGCATAAGTGCATAATTTTCAAAACATCACCACACTGTGTAAAGCAATATTAAATGTATGTATGTGTGTGTATTATAATAATTATTTTTGTGGTGGTGCAGATAATGACATTTTATGACAGATCACTCCTGTCTTTGATATTGAAACAGGCTTAAGCCTCTGCGTTTCATGAGGAAATGAGCTATGGTTAAGCCAATAAGAATTCCAATAGCTGCCATGATGAAAGCCACTCCAGCTACAGCTCCTGCAGGAACACCTTTACTCTTTCCACGCTTGTTATCATTTGGAGGATCAATTATTATCGGCTTTGAGTTGGAGAAGTAATTCTTGTCAGCTACTGCTGYCATTGGCTTTCCATGCTCTATATGAAACAAATACAGTCATCATTTACCTACATGTACATACTATAATTAACTGTAATATGTTAATGAAAGTCTGCCTTGATAGATTAACATTTTACTTCAAACTCTAAGAGATGGTTCAATGGAGTAACATACTCACCAGGACTTTTCCAGGTCACTTTGAAATCACCAGACTTCACTTTCTTTTTCAAAGCTTCTACAGCTTGTTTTAGGTCATTTTCCGGTGGAGCATYAGGAGAAGTGATTGGAGGTTTGTCAAGGAGAGTAAACCAAACAATAATATTGTCACTTCCTTCTCCATTCTTATACAAAACAGAATTATCATTAATAATGTGCACTTATGGGAAAAATACATTTTATCTTAGAATGACAGACACAACCAGGACCATTTACATAATTATTAGACAAGTAACTAATCAATTTCAAGACATCAGTTCAAGATTGTAATGAATGTGAGAACACTATAATTTKATTGGTTGATTCTGTGATTGGATCTATCTCTAATTTTATTGTTTTCTTGATGGTTTTATCTAAGTAGTCCTGGTTGGACTGTACACACTCTAATTTGATTATTAAATCTTTCACATATTCAAACTACTAAATGCTTTATAAATCATCCATAATACAATTATTCAGTTCAGCTCTATGATCCATGAGTTCAGTTTAATCTTGTTTACCTTTAAGTCRTCAACTCTAAGAGCTGAGATGTTACAAGTCTGAACAATAGCATTCCTCACTGCAAGGCTGAATGGTATTTCTTGCTTGTAAACTGTCTTCTTCCAGTCTCCTATGTAGAGAAAAATGGTTACAATTTGTAATGCAGCACAATTAACTTAGAACAAATGCAKACATGTACCTGCAAATCTCAGAGAAATAAAGTTCCTTTGGCCAGTGAAACAAGCTCCAACGCTGAACATGTACAGAGGGACTTTTTCCCCATCAAAGTTCAGTACATTCATGGAATACAAAAGATTCATGTTTGGTCCATAGGTGTTTGTTTTTAACAATACTTGAAACTGTTTCTTGAGTGAACCAGCTCTCATGTTCCACAATGGATTCGAGAAAAAGAATTCTGTTGTGAACTTTAAACAAAACAAAAAATGAGCTGGTGCATACATTAAGAATAAAGAAATGGCTTTTCTGAAATAATCTTAACTTCATCACTGTAATTTTAATTAATTAGATGTTTGAACTAGATGTAAAAACTGACAAATTTGCCCTTCAATGAATATTTTTCTTACTAGCATCTTCCTGTATGTTGATTCCTTCTTCATTATCCACACATCTGCAGCAATTCCACGGACACTAGCTGTGCCTGTGTAAACTAAGGCTGACTTATTKCCCCTGAACATCATCTCTGATGGACTCATTAATTCCAAATGATGATCTTTAGTTTCTTTGCCATCCCAACGAGTGTTGTTTTTTGTAAGACGGGTAACATTTTTGCAAACATAGCCAGATATGTTATACTTGACACCATGGTGAAAGTCATGGATAACACGTGATTCTCCAAAMATTTTGTGACGATAATCATTGTACCGAAACATAATGAGTTTCCTGTGATGATCATAGTATTCCTACAATTTAAWGACAAGGAGAAATTATTAATAGTCACATAGTTGGCATGCACATATAGATAGGATATACGGCGGATGAATTTCAACCAACAGTGAGACATGCATTCAATGAATGGATGTTGATTTATTACAGAATTTAAGGATAGAAACAACTTGACGCACTGCATATTGTTAAGTTTTAATGAGTGTAGAGATGTAGTCAGCCTAGAATACCACAGATTCATAGATGGATGGACGGACATTTGAATGTAAAAAATGGATAAATAAAATGAAAAATGGATAACAGTACTCATAAGGCGTATGATAAATGAAAGTAAACTGGCTTACACATTGTATTACCTTGACATGCATAATGCTTTTATTAAAATAGTTAACCAACTCTATTTCCAAGCTGAACACTGGTGGCATCATTGGCAATGGCTTTTTGTCCTTCATACCTTTACAGAATATACCACTTGGCAACTGGAAAACATCTGGTGAAGGCTTTCCATCCACAAAGTCAAAGAAATCATATACATGGTAAAATGAATGTGTTTTGTTTACAATGTGTCCTTGTAAACGAGTTATGTTACTTGTACCATTGATGGTTGCCCTGACAACACGCATGTTAGCCATATTTGGCATTGACCAACCAGGAACAGAAAAGTAATAGTCAATCAGATATGAATGGTGATTGTGGTTGATGCATGCCTGCCAGTGGAAACATCTAGAGTTGCAAAAAAAAAAAAAAAACAGAATGAATGAAAACAAACAAATGAAAGTGAATAATTAATGACAGATTTTCTTTTAATCGAATAGTAACAAGTCAAACTTTATTTCAGAAATCTAAATTAAAACAATTGATAATAAATTTGAATATACATTTTAGAGTAAGTTTGAATGTTCAAATAGTGAATGACTGACAATGACTCAATACAAAAGAAAATTAACATCATGCATATTCATATAAATGTAACAGGACCTGGTGACACTCACGTGCTATTAGCACGATCAATATTATTAAACCATAAATTGAAAAGAGAACAAAAATCAACACGTTTTCAATGGAATTAATAAAAAAAGTATTACAGGAGCGTTCCAGCTGCATCTTTCGTCAAACTCATTGATGTTATGTAACCAATACTCTATAAGCTTACATATTAGATAAGTTCACATGTACTTACGGTATCCCTCTGATTGTTGCATTTCCAAGATAAGTTTCATTAAACTGAGCCCCAAAGCGAAATAAATCAGCAATTCCTTCAATTTTCGAGCTGTTTCTGCCAAAGAATGGATGTCCGTGCATCGTTTTAATTTCTTGCATGGCGCAAGTTTTGTTTTTCAGGTCAATTGCCATCATTTCGTTGTAATTGTAGTTGTAAATTGCATAAGAACTTCGCCCATCCTTAACCAGCTTAACAGCTCCTTTATTTGCTTCTTTGTCGTAATATTCCGTCAGTAACATCGAATAGTTTTTGTTGACAATGGTCGCTTCTACATGAGCGGTAAACGCAGATGGCAGACTGGGCAACTTTGGTCCCTGATACGGGCTAGTATTAGCTCGACAGATTGGATATTCTTGACTTTCAGAAGCCGGCAGAGACTGAAGTACAGCAAACACAATAAAAGAGAGAAAAAACTCCATTTCAACCGTTGTTTCGCAGCTTTCAATTATGTTGATTACTGGGGTGGAAAAGTTCCATAGTCCTTTATTACCACCTTGTGACGTAATGCATTTTGGGAAAACAAGGGAGCAAGACCGAGCGACTGTGACGCAGCGTCAGTTTTCGAAAAATATTGGGAAATTATTGACATTGTAGTTATAGTCAGTTAAATCTCAAAAGCATATTTCAAAAAAAAAATCAAAAAGCAATAGAAAATACAGCAAGAAAATCCTTCATAAAATGTACAGTTTCCATTTTGCAAATCAAGCAAAAATGAAAACAAACATATTTTGTCTATGGAAAAATCGAAACTAATTAGTGTTTTTACGATTTTAGCGATTTGTTTTGATGAAGAAAAGGAGATTTATATCCCATGACACATTGCTCGCTCAACAAAAACCTTTAGCAGCAGTGGTCTTCCTGAGCTTCTTTAATGCACGCATGCTCTGTAAAATAGTATATACTTAGTAAACAGAGAAATTGATCGTGCGTCCACTGTCAAGCACGCAGCATAATCGAGGTTTCTACTCTCTTAAGGAATAGATATCAAGTAAGATCTTTTTCCTCTGTATTTTTCTGTACATCTTAGAATTTTGTTGGTAAAATTTCAAAAGTGCTGATGTGCAATGTGTAAATTTAGTCTTAAGTGATATTTCGTAATCTTGTTATCGTAATCAAGAACGCCTTATTCTGTTCACTTTTACCGGCACTGGAATGGATACAATTATACTTGCACTACATTTAGTGTTGTATTATAAATCGATACTCAAGAATGATCAAATTTCACTTTCGATCCATTCGAAATCAAAGAGTATAACGAGTGGCACACTAGCTGTGTACACTGAAATTATTGCACGACTAATCCTATTAAGCCGAGATCTTCTTTAGGATAAATATCCTTGGGCATTTATTCTCTAGGAGTCTACGAACTTAGGCTATTTTCTTTTATTATGACGTCAAAAAAGTCTATAATCATAGAGATATTTGTACTATGTGTATTATTAGTAAGTAAATCATGGACACTTCTCTATTTACAAACTCATTGCAGAAGAACGAATTGGACGAGACATGGAGAAAGGTAAAGGAAAGATATTATGGATAATAACTCATGTGTAATCTGTAATAAGTGTATAAATCTAAGAGCTCAATGTTACAACAATGGTTACTAAAGACAAACTTCTTTGATCGTCAAAGCATAACCATGACAACCCGGAAGATATTGTGTGAAATTATTACTTCAGGTCTCAGTAATCTCAGACAACATGAATGATTTCTAGGCTTTAGGCTTAATGTCTGTTATTTCTTCTATGTCATGGTATTTAGTTATTGTACCAAAACTTTGAACATGACCATTGCACCTTTCCAGGGAATGAGCCACCAACCAGTACAACAGATACAAATCAGATGGCCCCACCATATCCTGGACCATACCCACAGGGTGGACCTCTACCTGATGGCTACTATGTAGGAGGAGCACCACCACCTTCATACCCTGCTGGACCACAATATCAGCCTCCTCCAGCTTATCCAGCTGGGGCTATGACCACACAAGCCTACTACCCTGGGCAAACACAACCTCCTGTCATTGTCCAGGTATGACAAATAAACCAAAATTGAAAATCCAACATTATTTTCTACCCTATTGTTGGCATTAATCAAATAAGTTGTTTTGATGTGTTTCTAAAAATTGATGGATTAATGATAAAAATGGATGCTTTGATCAGGAGAACACTCAATATTTTATATTTCAATAGCAACAGCCAAATGTGGTAGTTGTTGGGCAGTATGGTGGAGTTCCTCCTCCAGATCATCAAGCTCTTGCTTGGTTTGCTTGTCTGTGCTGTTGCTGGCCTGTTGGTCTCGCAGCTATCATCAAGTCTAATGAAGTAAGTCAATTAACCAACTAATAAACTTAGTCCTTGTCCACTATTGGAAGGGCTAGGTATCCCTGTAGAGAAAATATATGATGTACAGTTTGTTTCAACTCCTGCAAATGGTTAGATCATCTTTTAGTATAGGACATGTACACCAGGTCTAAAAATGTGTCATTTTTATATTTATTTATTTCATAATGCACCTAATTAATCAGAAAATGGTGATATATCATCAATTCCAACTTTGAAGGGAATTAGGAAATTATTCAGATATTTAGATAAAATTGACCTAAACATTTTGAATTGTTGCATAGCTCGAAGATAAGGTCATATTATTCACCCTCCCTTTTGGTCTTAGCTTTCTTAGTTTTCAATTAAGTGTATCTTGTTTTTCTTGTCAGGTCAGAAATGCTTGTGCTAGAGGAGATTATGCAACTGCACGGATGGCATCCCAGTCTGCACGTACATTATCAATGGTGTCAATTGGTTTGGGAATAGCGTTCCTTGTTCTCTACATCATTCTTCTCGTGGTTTGGCTGATACCACTTCTTGCTTACTCAAGTTCTTACAACAATTATAACTAAGGCATATTTCACCAGCACATTTTTTTTTGTTCATTGAATTGGTCACTGTCATCACAAAAACTGTCAACCATGAACTCAATCTTACAATAGTAATATTATCCATTTTACAAAAAGCACTATAGTGCAAAATGTTAGTTTCACCCTAAATATGTGTACCAGTCTCAATATTGATAATTTTAATTAGCTTAAAAAGTTGTATTGGAATCAAAACTCAATAAGAATTATATGTCAACAACAAGAATTTAAATCTATTGACAATATAATTATTAGTAGAAAGAATTACAGAAAATTGTAGAAATTATTGTATTATTATTATTTTGTACATGAATGTTTTACTTTGTACGAATCACCATTGTTATGAAATGTACAAGTAATTTTAATTAAAAGTACTTTGGACCATTTATAAATCTTTGTAAATTTGATTAAAGTGGTTCTAGCATATATTGATTATGTATACTGAACTTAACAACATATAAATTTACTTTCCAAGAAACACATTTATTGAGAGGAAACCATTATTTTGTACAGTGTTGTATAAACAAGACTTAATTTCACAGCTCATGACCTTTGGAATTCCATGCTGTTGGTCACATCATGTGCTCGGATGTCATCTAATATAACATCCAACTTAGAGAATGTATCAAGTACCAGTGAATATGCCTGTCAATAAGAATACATGAATTACATCTTGAAGCACATTATAAATTAAAGCATAAGATTTTTGAGGAAGCAGAAATGTATACTATATATGTTAAAAAAAGTAAAAAAAATTTAACAAACACTTATCAAGAAAAAAACATGATAGCTAAGTTCTTGTACCTGAGCAAAGAGTTTTTCTTTATACTTGACTTCAAGAACTGGATCAACTTGTTCAATTCCTGGTTCTTCTATGCTTGCTGGGGTCTATAAGGATGCAATTTAATTTGTTTATCAATATGCAAAAACATTTTGTGAAATTGTGATTTGTGTGTTATAGCTGCTTTATTTATACTTTTTAAGTAATAATTGTTTTGAAGGAAGCTAGAAGGAATAGTAATATAATTGTATTTCAAGTCAATCAAAAGTGATGCAATTAATCTTACCACAGGTCTCTCAGCATCACTTGTTGATTTTGCTGGTTGTGAAGTTGGTGTTGTTGTACCTGTTTTACACAAAAAAAGAATTCCTAACATGCTGACATAAAACCAATATATCAAAGTGATGTGCAGACTCACCTCTGCCAGCCTTTTTAGCAGACAACTTTGAACGAGTAGAAACTGGTCTTTCCTTTAATGAAACAAAATATTTATTTTCCATAAATTGCTTGATTTGTAAAGTATAACAAAGAATAATAGCTCATATATTACATGATCTGCTTTGCCACCCTTCTTATCCTTTCTGTCAGATTTCTTGCTGTCAGGCTTGACAGGTTCAGTTGTCGTTTTTTTGCCTTTTTTGTCTGTAAAATTATGTAGCAGTTTATTTGTTAAACAATTTTTTAGATAATGCTTCATTTTTAATACAAGACAAGTTGTATACCTTCTTCTTGCACTACATTTTCCACCATGTCTCGTTCAGGTAATCCTAACACACTGCGAATCATACCTGACTGGTTTACCATATTGTCAACCATTTCACTCAATAACTGATATCTGGAAGATAAGAATGTTAATAACATTTGTGAGGATTTGGTTAAAAAGCTGATTGATCATCTAAATGGTTGCTCATCAATTGGTTGGCCATTCTGGTTGATCATTCAAATTCTCTTTATTCTGCGCAAGCTTCAAATTTTTATTGTCTTCTTTGTACAGAGCTAGTGTTTTCACTACAATAGGTTCTCTGCTGAATAAAAAAAGTACATTACATGCTTTGAGGTAAGGCTGCAAAAATAAGATCTTGAAACTGGAGTTATATTAGATAGATGACCATTGGTTGACTGATTTGTAGGTTGATTGTTTGGTTTGTTAGTTGCTGGGTGATTGTCTATTTTGTCGATTAATTGGTTGGTTGGTATGTGGGCTCATGTGTTGGTTGTTTGGATCATTAGTTCTTGTTTGACAGTTTATTGGCTAATTTTGTGGATTGATTGGTTAGTAGGTTGGTTGATTGGCTGGTTAGTTTATTGATTGGTTGGGTAGTATGTTGATAGGTTGGTATTTGGTTTGTTTTATTGGCTGTTTATTGGTTGATTGTTTTGCTGGTTGATTGGTTTTATGTTGAGTTATGGTAAATATAGTTGCAGTGAGTACTTACGTTGCATTGTACATTGCTTGCTTCACAGGATTCATGGGAGGGAAGGACATTGTCACCATTGATAAGTTTAGTTTCTGCAACAATTCCTCCCGTTGCTCATCTTCCTCAACAACCATTATACGCTGTTGACAATCATACATTTAACATTTTGAACTGAATGACTAGAGGAATGTTTAAATATGTTATACCTGTTGCAGTTGTGATAAAGAAAGATCCCATTCTTCATCAGGCTCCAATTCAGAGTATAGAACTTTGAGTTCATTTATAACCTCATCATGGAAGTACAGCTACAAAATAACAAAAATATAAATAATTGATACAGTACAGTTGACTTTTACAGCATAACAAGTAAACATCCTTAATAAACCTACCCCTTCATTCTTTCGAGAGAAAATTTCTTCTTCCTGAAATGAAGAACAAGGAATAGCACATATCAGATAATTATTTTCACTGTTTACATTACTGTAAAACCACAGTAATCAAACTGCTAGAAAAATTTTCCACAAATCATTCCTGCCTACCGTTATATAGGCGTCGACAGGAGACCTGGCACGCTCAGGTGTTCTTACTCCATCTAATATCTCCTCTAGAATACGATATGCTGCTTCTACAGCTTGCCTATGAGCGAGGTCTTCTTCTATCTCTTTTCGTACATTGGCATAAACATCTTCCTCTACTGCAGTACCTGTAACAAACAAACAAAATATATATTTCTTTCTGGAATGCATTAAACCCAATGCACATTTTGATAGATGACACAAAAAATTCTTTCACAGGTTTAAAGAAATCAATACATTACCACGAAGTGAGATTCTTAATGCTGCACCACCACACAACACAGGCTGTGTCAAAAGTTCCCATGTCTCTGAGAAAATTCCTGGATTGCAAGACTTAAAAATGAAAGGAAACCTCATGGTGTCACCAGGTAAAATAACTCCACTGTTGGTATCGAAATAGAAACGTTGCACTGAACCAGCCAGACGAGTACCCAGTTTGTTTGCCTTTGGAATCATCTGCAATTTAAACCAAAGTGAATCAATTTTGGTGCTGCATAATAGTTATGATGTGAGTGTATTTTAGCTACCTTCCAAGAGTAGTATATTGCAGTTGTGCCATCATTGCAAATATTCAAAAGTGAAACACAACGTTCATTCGTATGAGCTTCAAATAAGACTCTACAAGAAACACCCACACGACCCAGGCCGTTGTTGGTAGCACCAGTCCACTGTGCTGTCTGACCATCAATAGTCAAGGAAGGACCAAGGATAGGACGAGGTAGGACATCTGAATAGCTCCGCAATGGATCCCTAGATTATAAATCACTGTTATTGATAATCACAAATGTCAGGCATCAAACTATGATTGCTGATTTTGATAATTGGACTATATTTTGTTTGTTTCCATAATATTATACCATTCAATATTTATTTTTTCTAAAATAATTGTTTGCTGCCCGTTGTATTTCTTTTTAGCTTAATTTTCTTTACCTTGTCTTGTTTACTTGTTGCCTGTTTCAAGTTTTCTCAGTAAAATACATTGTGTTACTTGTAAGTGAATGATGATAAAAGCTGTAGCATACCCTTGTTCTTGTAACTGGTTCTAAGTTTTCTTAGTCAAATACATTGTGTTACTTGTAAGTGAATGATGATAAAAGCTGTAGCATACCCTTGTTCTTGTAACTGGTTCTAAGTTTTCTTAGTCAAATACATTGTGTTACTTGTAAGTGAATGATGATAAAAGCTGTAGCATACCCTTGTTCTTGTAACTGGCTCTCAGGTTCTTCTTCTTCAGGTACAGTTGACATGCTGTGTTTTGATGCTATAACAGGTTTATTTGTACCAATCACCTCTAGGTTATCTATGTACTATAAAGCAATGAAAAACATCACTATAAAAGTGAGCACGGATCTATTTCAGCCCTGAAAAACACAATCTTTGATTCCTGAATGCTATATAACACAACACTCAGGTGTGAAGTCAGAAACTGAGTAATAAGCAATATATTTTATTGAGATTTTTTTGACATTAATAACTTACTGGCTGATGAGGGTCTATTTCATTCATAACATGTGCTAGTTGTTCAGTTCTTTCTTGGAGAAACCTTGATTCATGCCAAGGATAGTGGACAGCAGACTTACACCTAGTGTTTGACCATTCAATACCTGCAACAAGTTACATGCAGATATAAATTGACATTTGAAATAATTAAGTTAAAAAATCTATAATATCCTGACCCATTTCATTCTTGACATAGATTGGTTTTCCAATGTGTTCAATAGGAGGAGGGTATCCTTGTTCTGTCTGTGTCAATGTTGACATGATTCCCGTTTCATCATTACCAACTTGTTGTACTTGTTTCCAGAACTCACTACCAACACGATCTAAAAAAAAACAATATTCACTGTGATGAATATTTACTTCCTTGAAAACATTACATTCAATTTATACTTACATCCTTTACCATAATCCAAAGAAGGAATTGCCCTATCAATCACATGTCTGAAATAATAACAATTCATGATTAAAAAGTACCTGGTACCTGCAGACATCCTGCAGAAAATTACAGCTACAATAAAACTAAAACACTAGTCTAGTAATACCTCTGTTCTTGTATCGTCCTGTAATCATCACTCTGGTTCATAATCAGCATGTCAGTTGTAACTTGAAGGGAATCTATATTATTGGTAATTGTTAACAGTCCATATCACCACAGGTCAATATAATTGGAAAAAATATCTCTGTGGACTTTTTTAACAAAACACAGTCAGTGATAAACATATGACTTCAATACAAATAGGACTTACCTGAAAGATGCTTCTGTTGCTGTTTCCTATTCATCATTTGCTTTTGGTAGTTTAACAATGCTTTACTCTCATCAACCTTTTGAGTATTAAGATCATCATGTCACATAGCAAATTATGACAATCAAATCAAACAATAATCATATTAAAATGTGCCTCAAAAGATATCAGGAAGCTGTCAAATACCTTAGTTTGGTACACATGTACTGGATAAGTCACTTTTGTTTTCTTCTCTGGTTTTGTGTGGGGCCTGATTTCTTTTGCATGCTAGTATACACAAAATGGGAATAATCAACACCAACTTTGTTGAAAAATATGTAATCTAAACCAAACCCTGGAAACACTGGGTTTATTGCTAACTTTTTGCTCTCAAAAAGAAAAGAAGGCAATGATGCTTGTTTGGCATGCCTCAGAATTCCAATGCTATCACCATAATGATTATTTAATAATATTTCTTACAGTCAAAGTGTCTGAATTACAAGATGAACAGCAGAGTATTTTCATATCAAAATTGAAATTACTGGAATAAAGTACAGACAAGTGACATACTAATTTATAGATAGAGGTAATACAAATTGTTGGTTGGAAAAAAATAATGCCACAACAAATACTAACTTACCACAAATGATCCAGAAAATGGAGGCAAGTTCTAAAAGATAATAAGACACAATTGTTTCTAGATATCAGGTAAAATGTGCTGTGAATTATCATTCATGCACTAGGGAAGACTATAAAAACACATTGTTCCAAAATTAATATATTTTTGGCTTATTTATTGAACTTCACTTTGAGTGGAATACAGACCTCAATATCTCCCCTGTTGATGGCTTCCTGGTAAAAGTCATCCCAGGAACCCAGAATAGTGTGAGACAAGACTTGTCCTTCACTGTCAAATGATGGTCCCGTAGAACCTTTCAATCAAAGGTTAAATTGTGTTAGAATACATCCACTAATATATTACTGTATCGAAAAATGATAGAGACTTAGCTTTACCAGTCAATGGTGTAACAACTAATGGCGCATCAGGTGGAGCTGGTCTTGCAACAGTTACCCTAAAAAAAGTTGAATGGATATTTTAAAAACRAAGATTCATATTTTGTATGTAAAATAAAATCCAGTTATTGACTGGGTTGAATAACTGACTGACAGGAGAGCCAGACTCATCAATCAATGAATGCTGCACCTTTTTCCACCGTGATCTGTATCATCTGGTGGTGTTTTTACCCTTGTCTTTCTCACCATTATCCTTGTAGATGGTTTAGGAATGTCAGGTTTTCTTGGAGCCCTCACCTAAATTAGCAATAAATAAACAGTATTAAATCAAGTCTCCATAAAGTACGAAAAGGAAAGACAAACCTTTTTGAGTTCTTCCTGGTTTATCGCAAGTGATTCGATGTCACCTCCAGAGATTACTTTGCCTGAGCAAGTACTGTTTTCGTCTGGCTGTATGACAGCCATTGTCGAAGGTACTGGACTGCCAACCTTTTCTGGTGTTCCTGCATTTTGTTTCTTTCCTTTGGACTTGTCTTATGATCACAAATCAATGCAAAAAAAATCAGTAAGCTATGAAAACACTTATACAAATGCTTCCAATCGTACCTGTAGATTTAGGTCTGTCCCTCTTTGATGGCTTGCTTGATAGTTTATTGCTCATATTATCTTTTCGGTTAAATAAATCAATGAATTTTTCTATATTTTCGTACAAATTTTAGACAGTTGGTACTCATCAACTCTCATAGCAACGAGCCGCCATTTTATCAACAATGAAAATATGGTAGCCTGGCCTGCGATTATAACACAGGGACCCCACGCAAGGCTCTACCCCTATCACTTTTCGCAAGGAATTTTATTTGCAACGATGAAATATCTGAAAGCACGGTTCGGTTGAAACCTGATCATTCAATTAAGAATAATATAAATATTTATAAAGTGCGATTGAACTTGTTTAGAAATGAAAGTGAACGGTTCAAAAGGTAGTGTTTTTRGTGATTTGGACGATGATGTTAAGATCACGTGGTTCCAATTTGCTAAAAAAATCGCTCCGATTTGCTGAAAAAAAAACGCTTATAGTATAGTATTAGTAACATACACAACAATGTTAACCATGAATTTCATTTATTCACTATYCTCTATTACATTCTGTCATGCCATACAGCTGTACCAGTGCGTGCATGGAAGACTTATATACGACAGTGGCGGATATTGAATAATAGTTCTTTGACATATTTAGTATTTTGGCCTCGCAAGACTTTGATATTAATTTCATCTTGATTTCCTCAAGTATGTTAAGGCTTGAGTTATTCGGCGGTCTTGACACACGATCAGCTTGTATTGTCTCGGTAAAACTAGTTTCGTTTTATTGTTAAAATATAATATTAAACAGTAAGAATAATAATCTAAGCTTGTAAGAATGGTACAAAGGGTTGTGTTTAGTTACAGAAAAAACATCAAATGTACAGATTTAGGGATGCATAACATGGAATATCCAAAATATGAACGCTGCTTTATTCATTTATTTGTTTATTATTATTATTATTTTTTTTTTTTTTTTTTTTTTTTCAGAATAAATGTGCCTAACCGAGTATCAGCGCCAACAGATGTATGACTGGGAGTAGTCTTTCAGGATTCTTGCACAATTCACCTGCGCGATTCTTGACTGTGTCTGGTAAATGAGTAACGCCCTCAAAGAGGAATACATGGAGATTTTTCACTGTAGTAGTCGTCACTAGTTTCGTGTTCATTCAGGCATACAGTAACAGCTACTGATTTCCAATCACCCATGACATCACATTTAGTAACAGACCGTATTTACTCACACGTACTGCACTGCAACCTTTTCCAGTGTTTTTCTCGATGAACGTGTTCGCCCTTTTCCTTGGTAAAGCAGTGTTACATCGAGAAGTGTTACAACACACGAACCTACAGCTGACAGTTCTATAGGTATCAAGAGGCGCGCATGCTTCTTTATAAGTACAAAGACCACTAGGATAACATCTCCTTATGAACTTAGCATAGTTTTGTTGACCATTTTGCGTTTGCAAAATGTATTTCGTATAACAAGCATTCTGTTTGGTATTACATGTCGTATTCGTTCCCTGTTTATCACAGTCTTGCCAGGAGAGTGATGAGGAACACTGGAAGCAATCCAGCAGAAGCACTAAAAAATATTTGAAACGAAGATAGCACTCGTAAGTGCTCAATTAATGATATAACGGAAAAATGGATGGACAAGTGGAGGAATAGATTTGCAAGAGAAGTGAAAGGGTCAGGAGGTAGTGACTCCTTCATTGACATTCTCGATGATTAATGATTACTCAATGGCCTTTCCGGGATGAACAGCTATTGAAACTAGTAGACACAATTTGACTAAAGAGAATCAATATGAATCTGACGTTGCAAAACACCTAATATATTTCATTTACCTGGTGCGATAAAAAGAGAAAACAATATAAGGCGGAACATTGTGTATAAACTGATTCCTTGAGAAATAGCATCTCAGCCCCACTGATTTACTGATAATGTTGACGATCATCGTTATTTTATACATCAGTTTTTCATAGCGTTAAAGCGAAGCGATACTATCAAACCAACAGCCAATGGGTATGAGTTTCGATCAGTTAAATCAATGATGTACCACAAGCATCAAAAACCAAAATTCACGACATTGGACGCCGTGATATTAAGCAGTGATTATTTCGCATATATGTGACTATACATAACATGCACTCCATACTTGTCAAGTTAAAAGTATGTTATACAGTGAATTCCTCACGTTTGATCAAATTCTGATAGAAATAAGCTGTGTACACTGTTGTTATACAACAGCAAGACGTTGTCTCCCCGACTCCACCCACCCAGCGTACACAATCGTTTCGCTGAAACTCACTTTTATTTATATACTTGACCAAAAATGTTTGCTTTGCTTTCTATTTGCTATGCCAGACGACGAAGCTTAGTTATTTTGTAATGATCAGGAGGCCGTAATTTATGAAAAAAATTCTTGAAATATCAGTTTGTTGAGCAATCGAAAGCACATGGCTCATGTGTGCAAACACTTGGCCAAACAAAAGGCTGAAAGTTGACCTTGAATTCTAAATGTAAAACTAAAACCTTGTTGTACGTAGTACGAAACTATCTGCTGAAACTTTTGTGTTACATATTCCCAAGATTATAACATCATGGCACGCCTGTCAACTGTAATTGTTATTAATGTCAATGTCACTGCGGCGTCGTTAGCCTTATTATACAATTGTTCTTTTTAATATGTACAAGTATGATCTTAAAATTGTGAGCTCTTTTGCCGCATTTAGTTGATGCACATTGTTAAATTCAAACTATCTGAGTAACTGTATAACTGTATTTTAACATTCTCCTTCAATAATGGAATCGATGTCTACCATGTTGTCTTTCAGCAAACTGGTTTCGCCTTGAATATGTTTGAATATAGATGCTAATTTATCTAAAAATATTCCTCTATGAAAAAAACATTAATCTGAATATCGCCACATATCTGTGTTTTGAACCTAAGCTAAAAAACTTACTGAACAACGGGATTCTGACGTTGCCCCAGAATTCTCTGAAGTTGAGTAGTCCAATCATGACTTCACGCATTGCTTATTTTATTTGTCTGTGCAGTCATGACGACTACTGTGTAACCTATATAAATAATAATTATAAAGTCAGTGAGTAAAAGAAAAAAGTCGGTCACTCGACCTAGCTTTTTGAGCTGTTAAGCTTGCCAACATTATAACCGAAAGTTCAGTCGCTGTGGTAAAAGTGTCAAGTGCTTAAATGAATTTGCCCGACTTTTGCCAATGGGGCTGCACTTGTAATCAAATGCTCCAGAATCAAATTCTGATCAGTTTTCTTTACTTATAGTTTCATCCCCGTAGAATTTAGAAGTTATTTTCTGGTCATCATTTCCCTGTTTGACGGATCTGCAGCGTCAGGTTGATCAGGAAATGCTTCTCGTTCTTATTAATTTATGCGAAAATAAGAAGAATCTACTGAAACTGATCTTATTTTTATCATCAACTCAATTGAGGTTACATTGCACAGAACGACCGCCATCTCTGATTGGCGGATAAGACTTTTTCTGCGCAATCAGTTCATAATGCACAAATCTGATCATGATGAAATAATTAAGACCTGAAGTCTTGCTTAACCCTGCATGCAGATAGAAACGCTCGGTTTGAATCTTTTTATATTCAAGACTGTTTGTGGATGGAAATGAATGTTGTGAATTAAAATCGGATATAATGCTTAATGTCCTTAATGAAACTAAGTTGCCCATCTTTCAGCAAGTTCAGTTGAGGAGGTCCCTTGGTGAAAGCTAAAGCTACAGACACGCTGACTCGTTTATTGTGAGTGACATATAGTTAACAACAAGAAATGACGCTATCGAGCAATCTCGAGTTGAGGACTTTCCTGTAATCCATTTTTCTCGCAGAAAAAAAAAAAGAATAAATCTTCATCCAAGTAGAAAGGTGTTGGATCCTCGCCATCACATAGAATTTGGGGGTCAGCGTAAAAAAATGAGTTTGTGATTTTCTGCAATGATTTTCATAAAAATTAATTTGCGACTAAATTGAAATTATATTACCAAAAATGTTCTTGCAACAAATATTGTGTAAATAAGTCACGTTTCTTTTACAATCTTTGATATTGTTTTGTTTGACAACAAAGAGCTAAAAGGRGGTTTCATTGTATTTGATCTTGGAACTGCGCCATGCAGCACAGGTATACACGCGGGTCCTGAAGGACGTTGTTAAATTGAACAATCCATTTTCTTGAAAAACCTTTCAATCCGTAAGCTCACGGTAATTATAGCTAGGGGGCACAGACAGGCCTTTAAATTGTTAACTGGATATCTAGTCGGTATCTCAAATGATTTCTCAGCACCTAAAATCGGTCTGTCAAATAGTGAAGTGTTTTATTTATTCACAATGCAGGTTCACTTTGTGAATACGTTGAAGCTAATAATGAGAGACTTCCGGTGCGCTTTTGTAGCCAAGTGTCTTGCATTTGACTCTATGGTGTACACCACTCTTTCATTATAAGTCGACCGTCATATTTTGACAACGTCGCCTCTCTGCCCAATCACAGCCCAAAGATGAAACTGTTTATAAACTAAAGTAACAAGAATCAGATCAGATTTAGCGCGGTCTATTGTAGGGTCGACTAACAAAACCCACAATGTTGCTGCACTTCGTGTTTGTTGTTGCATTTTGCGTGCTTTTCAAAGGTAAGAACCGATGGCCTCTTTTAGTTCGGATAATT